GCTGCGACACGCCACGCCATCCAGTCAGCCGCTTGCAAGGCCATGCCCGTTCAGCCCACACTCATCCTGTGAGGAGGGCTGGGGTGTGGAAGGGAGATCGGCCACCGCCATGGGGAGGAGGGGAGCGTGCGCCACAGGCTGCCGTGGCCGGACCAGGGCTGTCGAAGATCTTTTGACTTGCGCCGAACAAGTTGTTGAGGCCTCCCAGATGGGGTCCGAGTAGATGGGGTCGGAGGATTGCGCCGCCTCGGCGATGCATCGGCGATGCACCGGTGATGCATCGGCGACGTCGGCGATGCATCGGCGACGTCCGCGTGAAGAAAATCGGGCTCCACATCTAGCCGCAACGTCGATGCATCGACGATGTGGCGCGAACCTCCGACCCCATCGGCTCCGACCCCATCTAGGCGACTGCAAGGTTTCCCACGAATTTCACGTGGATGTTTTGTAGTCTTCATTCCTGGCCAAATACAATCATCCCCACGGAATGCACTTCGACATCCGGAACGGAATCCTCTAGGACAGTCCGGGCCCATCCCGGTGCTTTACGAACGAACTCCGCTCTGCGACGTTGGCGCCATGACGGTCCCCTGCTCGAGGGAAGCAGGACGGGGGGGGAGGGGAAGCGGCCAAGAACCCCGGGAACGCTGGCGGCCTGTCGGCCGCGCGCACGGCCGACGGCCCGCAGCCGGGGAGCCCGCGATCTTCTGCCTCGCCGCGCGCACGCCCGTTTGCCAGCGCAGGGAAGGAGGCGGCGGGGTGGACAGTGGACGCCACGATAGCAAGTCATTAGCTCGGGAGGAGGACGAGGGAGATCGTGGGAGGATGAGATGGAGAGGAGGACGGCGAGTCGTGGGACGAGGAACGGGGGACACGATGTCGAGATGAGATTGGGGGGACGAGGAGGGGTGGACACCACGATGGCAGATCTTGGAGGAGGACGAAGAAGTTGTGGGAGGACGGCCGGCTTTGAGGAGGAGGAGGAGGAGGAGGAGGAGCCCCCCCCCCCCTGGAGCGGAGTAGGCCTCGCTTGTCGAGCGCAAATGGCGCCCAGGAGGCTGGGCCGCTTCGTGTTGTCTTACAATTGCTATTATTATAAACCCTCTTATTAGTATTATTGTTCTCAATATTCTTGTTGGTACTATGGATAATGGTGTTTGTATCTGTATGAATCATATTATTGGTTTTGCAATTGTCATTGTTATCGTTACTAAGATTCGTCTTCTTCGTCTTCGTCGTGTTCTTCTTGTTTATGTGCATAATAGTGTTATCAATATCATCAGTAGTGTAGTTCGTCTTCCTTCTTATCAGTATAATTATTCGTAGTTGGTTTCGCCTGCGTGCGTTTCTATTTCACCCCCCTCAGCGGCGATGTCCGCCGGGGGGGCAACATCCGACGGATCCGTGTGCCACCAGCTCGAATCTCGAAGGCGGATGATGGGCGATGCGCCAGGCATGCCATCATATCACAAATTTCAATAGACGGTTGCAACGACGCGCGCCGCTCGTAAATGCTACGACATGTGTGCTGGATGCAGTGGCTTTTTTTCACACCGCTAGATGTCAGAAATCGCAAATTCTGTTTACCCAAATGGGCTTGAACGGGGCTGTCGTTACTCATCCTCTCCCTGAGGATCGCGAACACCACGTCCATGCGGGAGGTGATCTTGCCAACACTGGGTGCTCTGGCCCGGCGGGAAAGAAACGAGTTTCCTGTTTTCCGCGGCACTCAGGAAGAATTGTCATCATCCACTGCCTGGGCTGCCCGCGTTGGCCATGGACAATGTGCCACGAGCGTTGGCATCGTGGGAGCTGTTCTCGGCTTTGATGCTCCCGTCGCCCGTGCACTTCTCCGTGCCGCCTGTCTTCAAGTTTGCGAAGGTACCATCAGGTGGCCACCAGTGCCCGCTAGGCGAGACTTGGGGTCCATCGCATGCGGGCAGCCGAACTGGTTCATGAACCCAGGATGACATGGTGAAAACGGACGCCCTCGTAGAAGACCGTCTAGCAGAGATCGATGAAACTCGTGGCGGCGATGGGCACACGATCCAGGTAAACCTCAAATTCGAACTAACCAATGATCGCCTCGACTCTCGCTGTGGAGGGTTCAGTCGCGCCTCGGGCTGCTGCTGCGGTCCAGGACTGCCATGGCTGCGGACGGAGTTTGCAGCACGGGAGCAAGAGGCTTGCGAAAACTTTAAGCCAAAATGGCTTAAGCCAACATGGCCACGGACACGAAGGCGGAGGAGGTTTTCCCACGACCACAACTCGGCCAATGACTCGCCACGGCGTTGCGTGCCTGGATGACCAGACCCTCAAAATAACCTAGCCCCAGAAAACGAACATGACGAAACACCGCCGCCCCTCGCCACCCGCCACACGGGGAAGGCACAGGAGCGCAAACGGAATCGAACAAGAGAACGCGACAGAAACGTTAACTTGCGGAGTTCCGCGCGGACTTCTCGGATCTGCGCCTCCTCTCGGGGCAGGGGGGTGCGAAGTGAGGAGTGAGGAGTGAGGAGGAGGAAGGAGGAGGGAGGTGCAGGCGACGGCGGAGGAGGAGGAGGAGGAGGAAGGAGGAGGAGGAGGAAGAGGAAGGAGGGAGGAGGCGGAGGCGACGGCGGCGGAGGAGGCGGAGGCAGGCGTCCGATCCTCCTCGCCCTCCTCGGAGCCGCCCTCGTCCGAGTCCTCCGCGTCGGAGGCCAGCGCCTGCTCGCGCCAGCCCCTGGCCGACATGGGGGCGGGGCGGTCGGCCGCCGGCGCGCCCTCGGGGTTGGAGGCGAAGAGCTCCGCGGCGTCCACGTAGCCCCTCGCCTCAGGTCGGGCTGGCCCTCCCACAGGCGGAGGTTGGAGGATTTGGTTGCAAAAGAGCTCCAGGAATAGCAAAGCATAGGAACAAGGCAGACATCGTCCCCCGACCATGTTCTTTTATCATCTTTGACGATTCCTCCTGTTGAGGGACATGCCCGACTTAACCTTCGCCTCGGCTGGTCCTCCTACAGGCGGATGGTTGGAGGTTTTTGGAATCAAAAACTCAAAATTACTCACTGCGTGGAGCTCCCCATATGTGCATCTCATGTTTTATGTCATGCCGTGCTGAGCGTCTGTTCCTGAGCGGTCGACTACAATAGCCCGTGCAAACACCCCTGGCGGCTCCCCTTAGGGGTGCTGAAACCAGCGCCCCGCTTGAGACATCCTCACAATCTGCTCTCCAAGCGAAGGATGTTGAGCCCAGAAACAAGCAAACCGCCTGAGACATCCCCACAAAATGGCCGCGAACGAGCCCGTGCAAACACCCCTGGCGGCTCCCCTTAGGGGTGCTGAAACCAGCGCCCCGCCTGAGACATCCTCACAATCTGCTCTCCAAGCGAAGGATGTTGAGCCCAGAAACAAGCAAACCGCCTGAGACATCCCCACAAAATGGCCGCGAACGAGCCCGTGCAACCACCCCTGGCGGCTCCCCTTAGGGGTGCTGAAACCAGCGCCCCGCCTGAGACATCCTCACAATCTGCTCTCCAAGCGAAGGATGTTGGGCCCAGAAACAAGCAAACCGCCTGAGACATCCCCACAAAATGGCCGCGAACGAGCCCGTGCAAACACCCCTGGCGGCTCCCCTTAGGGGTGCTGAAACCAGCGCCCCGCCTGAGACATCCTCACAATCTGCTCTCCAAGCGAAGGATGTTGAGCCCAGAAACAAGCAAACCGCCTGAGACATCCCCACAAAATGGCCGCGAACGAGCCCGTGCAAACACCCTGGCGGATACCCTGGCTACCCCGCTTCAGACATCCTCCAAATCTGATGTGTGTTGAGTAAGTCTGAGTATGAGTAGGTCTGAATATAAGTATGGCTGAGTATGAGTGAGTCTGTGTATGAGTAAGTCTGTGTATGAGTAAGTCTGTGTATGTGTACGTCTGGGTATGAGTAAGTCTGAGAATGAGTAATACTGTGTATGAGTAAGTCTGGGTATGAGTAAGTCTGTGTATGAGTACGTCTGGGTGTGAGTAAGTCTGTGTATGAGTAAGTCTGTGTATGAGTATGTCTGAGTGTGAGTAAGTCTGAGTATGAGTAAGTCTGTGTATGAGTAAGTCTGAGTATGAGTAAGTCTGAGTATGAGTAGGTCTGAGTATGAGGAAAGAGGAGGAGGGGAGGAGGAAAGAGGAGGAGGGAGAGGCAGTAGGAGGCGTCCAAGTAATAACAATAACCCCATCTTAGGATATGGGGAAATAACTAACATAGGAGCAAGGCAAACATCGTCCCCCGACCATGTCTTTATTATGTTTGGCTATTCCTCCTGTTGAGGGACATGCCGATTCCTCATGTCTTATTATTCATGTATTAGTATTAATATTAGTATTGTTATTATTGTTGTTATCATTATTATTACTATGTGTTTTCATTATGTTTGGCTATTCCTCCTGTTGAGGGCCATGCTCAACCTCGGCCGGCGGGGCCGGCCGCCACCGCCGGGGGCCCTTGCCAGCATCTCAGGCCGGCAGGGGCGGCGCCAGGGGGCGCGAGCCAGGGGTCGGGCAGGGGAGCGGCTACAGAACGGATGCGCTCCAGAACGGATGCCCTCCTCCTCCTTCTCCTCCTCCTCCTTCTCCTCCTCCTCCTCCTCCTCCTCCCCCTCCTCCTCCTCCTCCTCCTCCTCCTCCTCTTCCTTCTCCTCCTCCTCCCTCCCCCCCTCGGCGAGCCGAGCCTCGTGGTGGAGACCCCCGCCTGTTGCGGGCCTAGATTTCGGTGCGGGTGGCAAGAGGGGGGGAGACGATCCTAGATTTCGGTGCGGGTGGCAAGAGTTCGGCCACCCTGGAAACGAGAACATGACCACCATCACCGAGATCGGGATCTCCTTCCCTCCGTGGAGGAACATCGCCGATATTGGTGTTGGTGTCAACTTTGGACGCCCGAATTGGGTACGGAAAGAGCGGGTACAATGCCCAACAACAGATGTTGTCCCACACCATCAGCGGCCGCTGTGGGGCAGGCGGCCTTCTGTCTCAAGTGGGCACAGGCCGCGGCGGCGCGGACAACGAGTCCTGTTCAAAATGAACAGGAACTGCTGTTGGGCATTGTACCCATTCTTTCCGTACCCATTTCGTGCGTCCAGGTAGACTTTTCCCCATCGGATCTACGACGAACGCGTCGGACTGTTGCAAATCTACGGGGGATGCTCAGGATTGCCCCGTAGATTCGACGAGCACATGGGTTTTGGGGGTAGACCAATTCTGTAGTCGGTCCCCGACTCGAAGGGGAGCGCTCCCTGGTTCGTCCCCTGGCGCTTCTCCCTCAGCACGCCCCCCGGCGCACCCACTGCCACGTCCCCTGGCGAGTTCAGCGGCGCGGCCCCCCTGGCGCGTCCCCTGGCGCGTTCCCTGGCGCGTCCCCGGCGCTTCCCTTGCCCGTCCGTGGCGCGTCCCCTTGGGTGCAGGGTGTTGGCTCAGGGGGGAAACCATAGAACTTGAATCGGCGACACATCGCCGATGGGAGCCTGATGGCCCACCCCGCCTAGGAGGAACCTGCGGATCTGCGATCGGAGGCCCACCGCTGACCCACCGACGCTGCATCGCCGAGTCCAGCTCGATGCTTCGCCCCACGAGTCTATCCCCCCCAACACCGTTGCCCCTGAACGGCGACGGCGGCGGCGGCGGTGCCAGCCCAAACGTGCTCGCGTCGTGACAGAAATCACGACCCAGGGATATTTTGGCCGTGGTCGGCCTCAGGGGGACCTACCTCGCCGGGCCCCGGGACCGTCAAAGAACGACTCAGGACAAACCACTGGCCCTGGGGAAGGACCGCGCATCCCAAAAAATGAGGACATCGAATGTCGGGGGGCGGCGGCGCGGGTGACTGCGGTGGCTGCGGCGACGGCGACACCGCTGGCCGCGGCGGCGGCCACACGGCTCGCCGCCTTGAAGGCGGGGTCGGCCGCCGTGCGCCGGTACGTCTCCGTGTCCTGGTCCATGAGCCGCGCCAAGTCCACGGGCACGAGGACCTCCTCGTCCGGCGCGCCCTCCACCTCCGTCAGGCTTGCCACCTCTGACGCGTCTATGCGGCTGCCCGCCTTCAGCTTCTGCCTCAGGCTGTCCAGCACGGCCTGCCGTTGGGAGGCAACGTCTGGGAGAACTTCGTCAGATTGACCAGGGGCTATGGAGCCCGATGCAATGGCCATTGAGATGGATCAGGCTAAATTAAACCCGGGATCAAGCCCGATTAAGCCGGATGAAGCCCAGGATCGGGCCAGAGAAGCCTGGGGATCGAGGCCAGATCTAGCGGGACCGCGCAGAATTATACGCAGGATTCTGCAGCATTAGGCGCCTGTGTTCGGCCACGGATCTACCAGGATGAGCGGGATCGCGCTGAAGTACTAGCGGGATTATGCAGCATCAGGCCCGTGCCCAAACGCGGATCAACCTGCGCCGATGCTGAATGTAACCTCTCTGGGAGACCAACATGTACCGATACTGCTACTCCCCGGACCTCTCCCGGGGTGCGTTCTGACCAGGATGTCGAGACGAATCCAGCGGTGGAGACAAGGGCCTCCCAGGAGGCCCAAAAAGGGGAACGCCGGCGAAGGGGTAGCGGCATGGGTACCTTTTCCTTCCTCCGAGATGCTGAATGTAACCTCCCCAGAGGTCTGGACCTGGGACCAGCTTTTCATCCTGAGTCCTTTGTTGACGGTCCCGAGGTCCGGGAATGGTCCCCAAAGGCCGAAACTTTCGAGAAAAAAAAACGTCGTGATCTTTTCACAAGCGAGGGGGGTCTGGGTCCAAGAAGGACCCCCCCTTCTGCCCTCTGATGGGCCGAACCAGCGTGCAAGTGAGTTTCGACTTGCGTGCAGTTCAGATTGCCTTCAGGGCCTCGCCAGCCCCCCCCCTCCCCATCCAGGCAAGCAAACTTGCCAGAGTCGCAAAGAAAGACGGTCTCAGGTTGCACCCGAACCTTCCGGACGTAGCTGTGCACCGGCGGCGCCCGAGCCGAATCGGGAAATCGGCAGCCGAGCCGGGAAAAGTCGAATCGGCTGAAATCGGCAGGCCCCTTCGAAGCCGCACCCCGAACCTTACCGAAAACGGCCACTTCCTTACTCGACGTGTCAGGGTATAGGAGGCCTGCCCACCCCCGAGACACGAGCCCCGGCCCGGGCCCCTTCGAAGCCGCACCCCGAACCTTCCGGACGTAGCTGTGCACCGGCGGCGCCCCGGCGCCCGCCCGCCGCGCGCCGGCGGGAGGAGCGGCGCCGCCGGGCGGCGCTGCCGCCCGCCGGGCCCTCGTCGGCCGGGAGGGCGCGGCGTCGCCCATGGCCCTATCTATGTGCAGGAGGCAGCTGCCGGGAGGTCTTCGTCGGGAGGACTGTGGACTTGTAGCTGCCCCGCTGCGCGGCACTCCGCACGCGGCGTCTCGGCACGGAGCTCCACACGTGGAGCGAGCACACGCATGTCTGAGGCGATGCGCTCGCCAACACGTGGGCCAATACGCTGAGCCGACACGCAAAGAATTGACACGGTGCGTGTTGCGTATCAGAACGGGCGTATTGAGGGCAGCTGAGATTAAGGAGGATTCAGCCCTACTGGGGGGCTGTTACGCCGGAGTGGGCCTCGGAGTAAGCGGGATAATAAGCTGGGTGAAGCGGGACTAAGCCGGCTTAAGCCGGATTTCTGACCAGGGCGAAATCCGAATTTGACCTCCCAGGAGTTGCATCCGAACCCTATGGCGCCGGTGACCGCATTTCGGCGGCGAGCGAGGGGAGGTTCGAACGTCGAGGCTCGAGGTTCGAGGAGGAGAGGGAGGAGGAGGAGGAGGAGGAGGAGGAGGAGGAGGAGGAGGAGGAGGAGGAGGAGAAGGAAGAGGAGGAGCAGGAGGAGGAGGAGGAGCAGGAGGAGGAGGAGGAGGAGGAGGGAGGGAGGAGGAGGAGGAGGAGGAGGAGGAGGAGGAGGAGGAGGAGGAGGAGGAGGGGTTGTCTACTTCCGTCGTTCTCGGCCTCTATATGGAGGCCGTTCTGGGGCCCCGGCCGGGGCCCCAGAAACTCGACCCGCGGCGCAGAAACGCGTCGGATGGACCCTGGGAGGGGTCCGGGGCCCGATTCGGGCCGAGATTCGGCGGCACGCCCGGGGGGCAAGTGAGAGGGAGAAGGCCTTCCTTCGCAGAAGGCGGCGGGACTTCTCAGGAACCCTCGCGACTTCGGAGACATGTTCTGCGCCTTCGGGGATGGCTTAGAAAGCTTCTCGGAAGGCCAGGGGACTTCCGAGCCTTCTGAGATGGCCTTCTCCTGCTCACTTCGCCCCCTCGCTCGCCGCCGATTATTGCCCCACGCGCGCCTCCTGCCACGAAAGACCAACTTGAGACACGGCACACATGTGGAGGCTGAAATTAAGGACGAGGCAAAAGCATCAACTTTCGGAGCTCCGGGCGGATTTCTTGGATCTGTACTGGACAACTCTGGTGGCGCCACAGGCGCCGCCCCTGGCGCGCTCCGAGCCGATCCAAGAAATCCGCGCGGAGCTCCGATAGTTTATGTTCAAGCATTGTCTTTTCCGGTAACACGCGCACGGCCGATGTCTTGAGAGATCGCAGCTGAACTTGCTTGCGCACCAGGTGCGCTAATGCCCATGTATGCATAGTGCCACGGTTCGTGCTTCAGAGCCGCATCTGTGGATGGAAAGGTGGAGCGACCCCACGCACGGAATGAGATCGTGACAAGGTATGGCTAACCAGAAACTGGAATGCTCACTCACGCCCACGGCTGAGAAAAGTCGCCAGTGTTGAGCCTAGATGGGTTCAGTCTGAGAACAGCCGCGGCGCAGCGCGGGTGGAGTGAATCCATCAAGCTCAACATCGCTGTTTGCGAACCCCCCCTGGGGAACTGGGCTACCACTTGTCTTAACTTCACCACGCGACGGCGTACAACCTCCGCCGAGCCAGAGTGCCAATCTGGCAACAGCCTGAGCGTCAGCTATGCGGGGGGTGCCTGCCATCGCTCGGACGTCCACTCCCCGCGCCTTCGTCGGTCTCGTGCGCTCCTTTTCTCTTGGCAAGATGATCCGGGATGCTCCTCGATGTCCCTCTCCGAGTGATCCGGGATGCCGTAGCCGCCCCGATACCAACACGCGACACGTAGCGTATTGGTACGGAGCTCAGCACGCACCCTGAAAACGTAGGTCTGACGCGATGCGTTCGCCCAAAGCGTGGGCCAAGACGTTGGGTCAACACGCAACGTATTCACGCGGACGTGTTGAGCACGGCACGTGTGGCGTACCAACACGTGCGCATCGAGACAGCTAGACCAGGATGCTCCTCGATGGCCCTCGCCGAGAAAAAGTCTGCGCGCGTCCGAGCGCTGCCGAGGGGCCGTGGGCGCAGAGGGGGGGGCTCCGCCGAGGCGCCCGAGGGGGGGGGGCGGCGCGGGGGAGAGCGGGCGGGCGAGGCCCGCATGCACTCTCGGCGGGGCGTCGTCCGACTGGGGGGGGGGGGGGGGCGAGATCCGACCTCCTCCGCGTCGGGGAGCAGGGGGAGGAGGAGGAGGAGGAGAGGAGGAGGAGGAGGGAGGAGGAGAGGAGGAGGGGAGGAGGAGGAGGAGGAGGGAGGAGAGGAGGAGGGAGGAGGAGGAGGAGAAGGAAAAAGGACAAGGAGGAAGAGGAAAAAGGAGGAGGACAAAGAGGAGGGAGGAGAAGGAGGAAGGAGGAGGAGGGGAGGAGGAGGAGGGAGAGGAGGAGGAGGAGGAGGAGGAGAGGAGGAGAAGGAGGAGGAGGGGGAGGCGGAGGAGTAGGAGGAGGGGGAGTAGGAGGAGGAGGAGGAGGAGGAGGAGGAGGAGGAGGAGTTCTATTATATTCTACCTCTCAGCGTCGTGAGTCCCTGGCCTCCGACGGCGCGAAACTTGCCATCGCTCGGACGTCCACTCGTCGGTGTCGTACGCGTGCGCTTTGTGGTTGCAGGATGCTCCAGCATGCTCCTCCACGATCCCCGCCGAAGAAAAAAACACACGTCCGAGCGATGCCAATGAAAAGGGTACAACGCCGCGGACAGTCACGGCCAGAACCCTAGCCCTCGTCTTTCTGCGGCATCCCCCGAGCCGGATCCGACTCTTGAGGGCCCCGGCGCCAGCGGCGGGCGAAAACGCCTGGTGGAACCGAACACAAGCGCGCAAGAGCGATCGAGGGACCCCAGTGGGCCCACACCGATGGTCACACCAGCGAAGGGTCGCTTTTGCGCGTAGTCGACTGGGGAGGGAGGGGGGCCCAGGTCTCAGACGTCGTGGTGTCTTCGCGGCGCGAGCCCACTGAGGTCTTGACCCCTGCCATGGGACCGGTTTGTCATCCCGAGCAACTTTTTGACAGCTCCTGGGCCCGGTGAGGGCTCCCAGAGGCCGAAAACTGTCAGCACCTCTGGCCGTGTTTATTCTCCTGCCTCGAGCAACGTCGCCGAATGAGATGGGACTGGCTCGCGTTGGGTGGCTCGGTTCGCCTCATTCTTGTCGTTTGGCCAGCGCACTCTTACTACAAACTTTTGTATCGTTTCCTCCTCCTCCTCCTTTGTCCGACCCCCAACCCACTTCTCCTCCGCGCCAGCGTCTTCGCCCCACCTGGGAGGAAAAGGCGAAGACGGTCCCGCGGAAGGAAGGCCTGGCGACGCCCCAATTCTTTTTAACCTCCCAGCACGAGCAGGGAGAACGTCAGGGGGCTGCTGGCGCAGGGGGCAAACGTCGACGTGGAATCGGCGATGCGATGCACAAATGGGGGTCAGTCCATGACTACCTACCAGACCACCCCAACCCAACCCGAAGACCCCAATTTCGGGTTGGGGGGGGTACGGGTTCCATATGTGTTTTTTTCAGTTTTCCCCGACCCCCCCCCCAACTGGAAACGGAGGGCAAATTGAGGCCTTCGGCTTGGGTTGGGGTGGTTTGGTGGGTGGTGAGTCCACAAGGGATCAGAGTCAGCGAAGGGCAAACCAAGGAAAACTGATCGTCTGAGAAGAATACTGGCTTGGGCCAAGTAGTTTTCCGGAGGGCTCGACCGGAAGAGGCAATGAGGGCATCGCTTTTGATATCAAAGTACGACCCCAGGTGAGTCTACCTGTGCCTGACCCCCAAAAGGCTTACCCCAGTAGCAGGAGAAGGAGCATCACTTGACACATCGCCAACTGGACCCCGATAGCGAACCCGCATGCTCCTGGGCGGGGAGGGGCTATCGGGCCCCTTATCTAGAGAAGCAAAAACAGCATTCACGTAGACGTTCGGCGCTCCGCGCGGGTCTCTTTGGATCTGCGCTGGACTCTCCCCCCCCAGCCTGGCGCGCGGAGCGCACCAGCAGGGCCCAGCGCAGATTCAAGCAATCCGTGCGGAGCGCCGAAAGCTTGCGATGACGCCGTTTTCCTTCGCCTTCGGCTGTCGACGATCCGTGGGCGATTGGAGCTCGATATGTGTACACCCCTGAGCCTGCCCCCACGAAGGTGAGGGAGGGGCGAATCAGCTCGCGCAGCGAATCGGCTCTCGTGGCTGATCTGCGCGGCGCCTCCCGGAGGTCCCAATAAGATCGCCCACAAGGCGAACCCCGAGGCTCCCGGGAGGGGCGCAAGGCGCTCCCGGACGACCTCACGAGGAGTATAAGTGAGCATTTTCTTTGGGTGGAGGGCTCCGGGTGAAATCCACATGGGCTGTTGCACTTCGAAAATCAATCCGTCGTGTGATTCACCTCTTGCAGATTTAAGCCTCGATCATCCATCGAAACGGCATTTCAGATTTCACCCTTTGCCCTCCACCCAAAACAACTGCTCGGAGTAACCAGAAAGGGACCCTCGCCCTTTGGGAGGGGACCAAAGTCAGGAGGGCCAGAAAGCTTACTGTTCTGCAGACGTGTCGAACCAAACTCGGGGGCGCGCAAAAATGGATGAGCGATCCATGGATTTGGCGCGCGGTCGCCGTATCCATGGATCGGGGGAGGTGCTCTCCCCAAAATGCGGCCGGTGCCGCCTCGCTCGGCGGCGGAAATCCGTGATTTCCCATGGAAACACGACCCGTCGCTGATCCACGCCCCCTTGATCATTGTTTGCGACTAATTCAAAGACGGGGACCTCGCCAAGGCCACGATTTTATCATGTTATGAGATAAGGGGTATATTGTTCTCGATGACACGAGGGGCCCAAAAACGCGCCATCGCCAAACCGCTCAGAAGCCCCCAGAAGGCTCCCCCAAGATGCACCCGAGAGGCTCAGAGGAGGCCCCAAGAGACCCCCAGAGAGGCTCCCCAAGAAGACCCCAAGAAAAGAAGACCCACTGTATTGAGGAATGTGCCAGGCGGCGCAAGCTGCATGCCGCAATGTCGTACCCCTGTAGTGATCCGCCCGTATCGTCCGAACCGAGACCCAGACCCCCGACGTCGTGTTTTTGCTCATGACGTGGCCCCCTTCCTCCCTCCTCTATCTCCTCCTCCTCCTCCTCTTGACCTTACATGTTCCTCTCCTTCTCCTCCGAACGACCGACAACATCACATAGGGCTCACCCCTGGGTCTGCTCGCTCTCATCCCGAGCTAAGGCGACTCTCCTAGCCATCGGAGACATACCACCAGGAGCGCTCCGAATCGCCGGCGCAAGCAACTCGACCTCTACAATATGCCCGATGCCATTGCGCAAAATGGCGGACCGATCTTCACAAAAACTCTGCTCTGAGTGCGCATCGGCGTCGACTCCATATGTATCCTCGCCTTCCTGTTCCGCCGCCTCCTTATCCTCCTCGTTCCTTCCCTTGCCCCCTCGCCTTCCAATCAGGGGCACTGCCGACAAAGCTTGCCTCGTGTTGGGCCTGATCATATACAAAGCTGCACAACGAACCCTGCGCCGCACAGCAAGCAAGATTGCAGCGCGTGCTTAGCGAGCTGCGACATAGCAAATAAGATGAGTGGCAACCGAACCACAAGGCTGGGCACGGCGACTTTCGCGACAGCGCCACTGATGGTCATAGTGCTCATGTATTGTTTGCCAACCTGTCAAAACTCAGAACCATGGAATTGGTTTGCCAGCGGGCTGCCACACACTCAACGACAGGACTGCAGGGACATGAGTGTAACATATCGAGCAAATCGGACTGAAGGCGCTGCACGCTGATCCGCCCTGTAACCGAATGTGCCCGCGATGCACGGGCTGCGCAAGCACGACGTGCGCCTGTGCATGAACGCACGTACCTGTTGCTGCTATGAGCGTGCGCTCGCTGCTCCTCCACCCCATCCTTCAGAGGCGCGCTTTTGCTGGAAGCCGATCCAGGCCTGGAATGAAGGCGCGCTCCAAACTCTCCGCTCCAGGGCAACAAGGGCGGCCCCCTCTTGCCGCGGACGCCCCTACTCGGCCTCAGCGCTGCTGGCCGGTGCTGGCAGCAGGTGGCTGGCCGGCTCCGGCAACACGTAGGCTCCAGCGCGGCCGGGAGGCAGCTGCAGCTTCTGCTGCTCCCGGGCTGCCTCGAGCCAGGCGCTGGGCATCCCGGAGGGCAGCCGCCGGGGCTCGCCCTGGCGGACCCTCTTCTGCTTGCGCATCTGAGGTCCCCTGATGTACTTCTCGTGCCAGCTGGCCGCTGATGGCACCTCCTCCTCCTCGATGTAATAGCTGGCCTCGATCGGGTGGCCGTTACGGCTCGTGCCGACGACGCGAATCTCTGCGGGCAGCTGTTCGGGGAGGGGGAACTCTGCGTACTGGCAATCGCGGATGCCCCACTTTTGTTCTTGGGTTCTCCAGGGGCCCTTGTCGATCTTCGGAATGTGGTCCAATGTGACTCCGTTGGCAATCAGCCGCATGCTCGTGTGATAGACCTCCTCGACCTTGAACCCGACAATGACGCGCCCCCGGATAACTCCTATCACCTTCAGAGCCTTGTCCAGTCGCATCCGTCCGTTGTACCCCGTGTTGTGGCTCCAGAAGCCGCGGAACTGCCCGGGCTTGTACGTGGGCGACACGGCTCTGGCGTCCTCCGCGGGCGGGACAGAAAAGCTGCGGGGTCGTCCTTCGGCACGGGCGGCCCCGCAGCTCCCGTGGGCCCACGCTGGCGACCGCGCTGGCGAGCGTGTTCCTCCTCCCCCTCCTCCCCCTCCTCCCCCTCGTCCTCCCCCTCCTCCTCCTCCTCCTCCTCCTCCTCCTCCTCCTCCTCCTCCTCCTCCTCCTCCTCCACGCCCCTCGCGGTCTGGGCGCCCCCGCCACGCCACCACATAGGGACCCCGGGCGACCCTGCCCCAGACAGCCCCCGCGGCGCCGGGCGCCGGCCCGCGAGGGCCGCACGGACGTGTGGGCCGGCTGCATGCAGGGAGGCGGCCCCAGGCAAGAGGTGTGCCCTCCTCCTCCTCCTCCTCCTCCTCCTCCTCCCTCCCTCCCTCCCTCCCCCTCCCTCCCTCCCTCCCTCCCTCCCCTCCCTCCCTCCCTCCCTCCCTCCTCCTCCCTCCTCCTCCCTCCTCCCTCCTTCCCCTCCTCCCCGTCCTCCTCCTCCTCCTCCTCCTCTTTCCCCTCCTCCTCCTGCGTGCAGGCTGCATGCAGGGAGGCGGCCCCAGGCAAGAGCTGTGCTGCTCCCATCGTGCTTCAGGACCGCACCCCCAGAAATAACTTCGGGCACCCGGAGAAGTAAGTGTCGGAGGAGTGTCCAAGCAATGCCGAGAGAGTGTCTCCCGGGGCCCGGCGCGTGAAGACCCTCGAGTTTGAGAGCGTGTTCTTGGTGGTCGAGATTCGTGCTGGTGATCAAGGCTAAAGGTAGGTTGGAACATCATGAGGCAAGAGGTGACCCATTCTCCTCCTCCTCCTCCTCCTCCTCCTCCTCCTCCTCCTCTCCTCTTCCCCTTTCCCCTCCTCCTGATCCTCCTCCTCCACCTCCTCCTCCTTCTCTTTCCCCTCCTCCTCCTCCTCCTCCTCCTCCCCATCCTTCTCCTCCTCTTTCCCCTCCTTCTCCTCCTCCTCTTCCTCCTCCTCCTCCTCCTCCTCCTCCTCCTCCTCCTCCTCCTTTGGCGCGTAGCCTGCCGATCGCCAGTGAGTCTTGGGCGGCCCGCGGTGCCTGTGCTCCCCTTGGCCCCCCGCAAGCCCCGCAGGCCCCCGCAGAGGGCGCTCGCCGCGGCCACTGCGGCGAGGGCCCGCCCTCACTCTGCGGCGCACAGGAGGGGGTAGGGCCTCAGTGGGCCCTGGAAACGACAGGGCCGTTTCTGTACCGGTTCCGTTTTGCCGTTTTTTCCCCAGTTCCGACACCGTTTTTTTACTGGTTCCGTCGCCGGTGTTTGACCGGCTCCAGCTCCGGCTCCAATCCTGGAGCCGTTGTGTTGCCGTTTACGGTCGCCTTTTCTTGCCGTTTCCATTTTCAAGGGACATTTGTTTGGAAACGGAGAAAAAACGGCCCTGCCGTTTCCGGGGCCCTCTAAGGGTGGGGGGAGGGGGAAGGCTTCTTGGAAGGAGGCTGCTTCTGAGAAGGCGCCGGCCCTGCATCTTCAGATAGGGCCCGCGCCCTCTGAGAAGCAGGGGTGCTTCGAAGCGGCCTTCCCCCTCCCCCTATACACCCTTCTGCGCGCGGCGGACAGCACACGCAGACTGAATGGATGCTTTCTGGGTGGACAAAGAGGCACTGACACCGCTGCTCCACAGACCTCTTAAGGGGTGCGCTCGGACCAGGACTCTGAGGAGAGGAGAGTCCAGCCGTGGCGACGAGGGCTCCAGGCCAGGCAGCGGCACCTGTGTCTTCCGCTGAGGCCCGACGTGGCGACAAAATACAACATCGCGAAAAAACGCGACCAGAGCCCTGGGCCCCCTCTTGCCGCGGCGTTTCCCGAGCTCTATCGATCTGTGATGGCCCCCGGGGCCCGAAAGCGGGCGAACACGCCAGGCGTGGGAGACATGCAACGCCATGATCTCCTTAGGGGGCGCATGCTCGGGTGAGTCGGGCTTTGCCAGATCCTGCTAGGTCATGCAAGATCCTGCAAGATCCTGCGCAGAAGCCCGGGTCAGTGCACCCCTGGCTCTGCAGAATACTGCAAAGTGCGGCGCGCTGGCTGACACCCGTGTGCACTGACCCCCGTCTCAAGGCTCCCGAATCCTCTCCTGGCGTTCGTAGCCGGCAGACGGTCGACGTCGACGATGAGGCGTCGCGGTCGATTCGACAAAGGCTCGCCGATCGACGACGACGACGACAACGACGACGACGACGACGACGACGACGACGACGACGACGACGACGACGACGACGACGACAAAGAGGACAAAGACGACGACGACAAAGACGACGACGTGCGGCGCTCGATCGAAGGAGGGAGGGAAGAGGGAGGAGGGAAGAGGGATGAGGAGGAGCATGAGGAGATGAAGGGAGGAGGAGGAGGAGGAGGAGGAGGAGGAGGAGGAGGAGGAGGAGGAGGAGGGAGTGGGAGGAGGAGGGAGGAAAAGGGGAACGAGGAGGAGGAGGAGGAGGAGAAGGAGGAGGAGAAGGAGGAGGAGGGAGGAGGGAGGAGAGGAGGGAGGAGGAGGAAGAGGAGGAGGAGGAGGAGTCTCCTGCCCGGCCCCCACGTCGACCAGGGCGAGCGCCACTGCGGCGGCGGCGGCCGCGAGGCCGAGGCGAGCCCGCCGCCTCCCCCGGCGGGCGCCGGGCCCGCCGAGGCCCCCGAGGGCTCCCCGATCGGGCGCCGTCGCGGCCGCGGCTCCGCGCACGAGTAGCAGGGGGGAGAGGAGGAGGAGGAGGAGGAGGAGGAGGAGGAGGAGGAGGAGGAGGAGGAGGAGGAGGAGGCGGAGGAGGAGGAGGCGAGGAGGAGGAGGAGCAGAGGGAAGGAGGAGGAGGACGAGGAGGAGCAGGGACGAGGAGCCAGACGAGGAGCAAGAGCAGAAGAGAAGGAGGAGGAGGAGGAGGAGGAGGAGGAGGAGGGGAGGAGGGGAGGAGGAGGAGGAGGAGGAGGAGGAGGAGGAGGAGGAGGAGGAGGCGGAGGAGGAGGAGGAGGAGGTAGGAGGAGGGAGGAGGAGGAGGAAGATGAGGAGGGGGAGGAGCAGGAGCAGGAGCAGGAGGAGGAGGAGGAGGAGGAGCAGGCGGAGGAGGAGGAAACGGAGGAGGAGGAGGAGGAGGAGGAGAGGAGGAGGAGGAGAAGGAGCCTGCGGCGCCGCGGGCGCCATCGCCCCAGGCGGGCGGGGCAACGGGTAGACCCGCGGCTGGAGCCCGCGACAGCGGAGTGCGCACGAGCACGCGTCGGAGGAGCGCGCGCTCGCGCGGCGTGCGGCTGCGGAACGGCCTGCGGGGGCTGCAAGGGATCTGTGGAGGTGCGGTCGACCCGTGTCATCCGGAAGTACGAGAAGGATGTAAGGCCTATGAAGGCCGTGTCGGAGCTTCTCGAGAGGGCGAGGCCAACGACAGCGGCCAAGGCTGGACAGAGGAGGCAAGGATGCAAAGTGCCAGGGTATCCTTGGGAATCTTGCCCATACTTATTACGCGAGTTGACCGTACAGGCCCCCGAAAGACGCACACATTGGCCCAAAGAGGCCCGGAAAATATCCCCAAGAGGCCCCAGGCCCTCCAGAGGCACCAACGGCACCGCAAGAGGCCTCGGCGAGAAGGCCAACCTCAATGATTCGACATATGCGCTGGTCACAATATGACCTCCTCCTGGAAAGGGGGGGGAATTTGGTGCGGCCTGTTTTTGACCGATCTCCTCCCGGATGGCCCCAACTTGGCCCCAGAGGCCCCCAAAGGGGCCCCCACACGGGCCCGAAGAGGTGCCCAGGATGCCCCAGGAGCCCCCCCAAACGCCCCCAGAATGCTTTCAAAAGGGGCCCCCCAGCGGCCTGCCATAGGCACGCAAGGCGCCCCCCACGGACCTCGGGGACTGCCAAGAAACCACCAAGACGCCCCAAGAGGACTCGAATTACGCGACCGAGGAGCCCACATACTTGTAGTATGTCTGGCGCGGTGATAGAAGCAGTGAAACTTGTGAGAATGATGCTGGTGGCCGTTGCTTCGCCGATACCGTTGGTGACGCCAGTCAAGCCTTGGGAACCTGACGCGCTGTGAGAACAGAAACGCAAACAACGCCGAAAAGAAACTGAAGGGGCGAGGAGAAGGGCGCGGGAAGAGGGCGGGTGCGAGTTTTGCACCGCACAGGGACCACCCCCTGCGCACCCCCCTTGTCGTTGAAAACGTGCCACGCCTGCATACCTTTGCGACAGTGTCGTGGATAGACACTGCGCCCAGGAACCACCTCCTGAGCACCCCCTCTGGCGTCGAGAAAATGCCACGCCTGCTTAGCTTTGCGACAGTGTCGTGGATAGACACCGCGCTCATGGACCACCCCTGGCGCACCCCCCACAGGCGTCGAGAAAGTGCAGCGAATGCTGGGCGTTGCGACACTATCGTGGACGGACGCCGCGCACAGGGACCACCCCCTGCGCCCCCTCTCTGTCGTTGAAAACGTGTCAAGCCTGCTAAATTTTGCGACAGTGTCGTGGATAGACACCGCGCTCAAGGACCACGCACTGAGCAACCCCTTCTGTCGTTGAAAACGCGCCACGCCTGCTTAGCTTTGCGTGAGTGTCGTGAATAGACACCGCGCTCAGGAACTACTCCCTGCGCATCCCCTCTGTCGTCGGGAAACAGCCCGGACTGCTAAGCCTTACGGCAGTGCCGTGGACAGACACCGCGCTCAAGGACCAGCCCCTGCGCACCCCCTATGGCGTCGAGAAAGTATCACGCGGGCTGTGCCTGGACGACAGTGCGCATACGTCTTGGGTGTGCGATGTAGTGAACAGCCCAGGCGTGCACTGGCGTTATATGTAGTGTGTGTGTGTGTGTGTGCGTGCGTGCGTGTCTGCATGCGGTCTTGTGTCTTGCGTGTCTTGTGCATGTATATGACGTGTGTGCGGCTGTATGTGAACGCGTGTCCAACTGTGGATGATGTATGATGCGTGTTTGGCTGTATGTGGACGTGCATATCATGAGGATGAGCCGTATGTCACGCATACGTCTTGATTTATGATACAGTCGACACGCTAGGCGCAAACTGGCGTTGTATGGTGTGTGTGTGTGTGCGAGAGTGTGCATGCGTGCGGCTGCATGTGGACGCGTGCCTCATGTACGTGCCGCGCATGTGCTGCGCGTGAACGAGATGAGAGAGCCAGAGGAGCTGAGGAGGGAAGAAGGAGGGAGGTGTGTGAGGTAGACGCGGTTGCGACGCGGCAGGGGACAAAACAAGAAACGCACGAAACATGTGGGGAACAAGCTCTCGAAAGACACCCGAAGAGAATCCGAGAGGCATGATGCGGCATCTGTCCTTTCTGCACGCCCCCCCCCTCCTCCTCCTCCTCCTCCTCCTCCTCCTCCTCCTCCTCCTCCTCCTCCTCCTCCTCTTCCTCATCCGCCTATTCCTCCTCCTTCCTCCTCCCTCCTCCCCCTCCCCCTCTCCCTATTCCTCCTCCTGTTCCTCCAACTCCTCATCCATCCTCCCCACTTGGGGTATGACGTCTTACCCAGCCCTTTTGTGCCACTGCATGCTCCTCCAAATTCCTCATCGTGGCAACTCGTCGAGGCAGCGTTTCTGCATGGGCTAGTGGAGGTAGAGGGGGAGAGAGAAGCGAGCTCGGAATCATATATACATATATGAATACATATATGTATATATATATATATATATATGTATATATATTCATGTATACATAGTTTATAAAAGCAGCTGGATCTGAATCCACGTGCATATGTATACAATGCTAACAACTAATCGGACTATTATACGTACACGATGTTATATGAACATGTTGGTGTACCTATTATATCATCTCCATATCTGGCAACATACCCATAACTGCATACATTATTTTATATGTCGTCACGTATACATGTCAATGTATACGATCGTTCATATACATATGTACGCGCGTGTGTATGTATATCTAGACACATGCGTTATATGTAAACATGCATGTGTACACATGCACACAATTGCATACGTGTATGCATGTAAATGTATGTATGCACATACATCTACAAGTATAGAACGAGTCAGTTGTATGGGTCGACCCATACAGCGATACATACATAACATATGCAGCTCACCAATGAGCCTTCACTACCTCTACTACACCACATAGCTTGCACGGCGCAACTTACACCACGAATGTTACACCGCATACGCTGCATCGTATGGCTTCTACAACACAGCGTGCAACACATAGGGTGCAACACCCACCCAATCCATTACAGAAGCGACGCCGTCTCGCTTGTATCGCATAGCTTTTACATCAGCGCTTGCACATAAGAGATTACACCACGTAGCTTGAGCCGCATGGATTGCACACCATAGCTTACACCACAACCTTGCACCGCATGGCCTACACATCGACAGAGTTGTTTCTTACTAGTTAAGGTCCATGCTGGCAAACACAGGGTATCTGCATGCACGCAGGCGCTAAATGGACACGCGCGCTGCGCACGTGCTAGGTTGTCCCCATCATCCTCCCCCGCGTAGCCCTTCCCCTCACTTCCCCATTCCCCTCCCCTGACCTCCATTCCGCCCCCCCTCACATCCTGCACACCATGCTCATCCTCATCCCCTGTGTGCTCCTCATCTCCCTGCGTCTCAGCTTCGTCCACCTCCTCTTCCTCCTTACCCCCTCCTCCCCTCTCCTCCTCCTCCTCCTCCTTCTCCTCCTTCTCCTCATCCTCTTCGTCCTCAATATTGGAGACGTCTAGGGCCGTCTTGAATCCTCTACAGTCCTCGTAAGCCCTCCAAGGACACCCCTGGAGCCAAAGGATGCCCGAAAACCGAGGAAGTCAGAACATGAGGAGCATAGTGGGCGCGTTTCTGGGACGATGTGTGGCTGCACGCGGGGCCCTCCAGCGGCCCCCTTGTGCTGTGCTGGGGCTTTCTGGAAGGTAATGGGCAGCTGTGTGTATCCCTTGGGACCCGCCTGGGGCACCTCGTGGCCCAATTCAACGCGCCTGACCCCATACAAGAACATCTCTGGAATCACCTCTCGACGGCAAACACAAACTCTCTGTAAACACACTCCCCTGCGTCTCGGGCTCAAACACCCAAAACGCTACCCGTGTACCCTCGTCTACGGAATACGGAAATGCAATGCCACGCACACGGGTCGAATCTCGATGGGGACTGGCACGCGAATGGCCTCGCGGCCACCATGGTGGCCGCCTATCCATGTCGTTGGCGATCGGTGCCACTCAGGGAACATCGCAGCCGTCAAGTTACACGGGATTTCGACGTGCCACGCTACACTGCGCTGCACACAACTAGACTTCACCTTATGACGTCACTACACACCACAATGTGAACAATACAAAGCGTTGTAATGCAATGCGGCACCGTGTAACAGATTTCAGGCGTATGCTTCGCAACGCAACTAAGCCCAATTCGCAGCCCGACTCACCGTAACGCTTGGCACTGATATACACTACGCATGCAAAACAACCATGCGCGGAGGGTCTGCAATTTTCGAGAGACGGTCCTTCTTGAGAAGCGTACTCAATCCTGCCATAGGGGCCTTGCCAACAGCTCGGAATTAATCGGTCCCCTTGGAGGCCAGCAGGCTGCGAGCAACAGGGGCTCCTGCTCTCCGCAACAATTCCAGCGCGACGGTTCCCAAACTTACACAAGTTACGTCGGAGATTATGGATGGGCCAGCGAAGACTTGGGCCCGGACCCCCCCAGCTGCACTCTCATAGTCACGTTGCCCGGACTCCTAAGGATGCCCAGGAGCACACATGGAATACTGCCGCCTCGCGCTCCCGAGGTCACCTTCCATGGTGCATGTCGAAGCGCTCGCGTTCACGAAGCCACAAAAACCCATGTACATCACAACGAATTCGCGTTCCCGAGGCCACAGCCCGTAGTAGGTTCCTGCAGGTTCCCGCCCGAGGCCACCATCTTTCCTACATTACAATGTGTGGGTGATCCTTGAACGCAGCCTTAGGTCGGGCGTGTCCCCCTACAGGGGGCTCTTAAACGAAAAATAGAGACTGGTCAAAGATATTCAACAGTTATAGCAACATCAAAAAATCGTCCCCTGGCGTTTAAAAACAAAAAATGGATATGCAGAGGGACAGGCCTGACTTAAACGTGGCTCTCCCCAATAACTTACCACAGACACGCGACACCGGCCAGCCAACAAGCAGCCGAAGTCAACCATGCGACGCTCAGAAAAAGGGTCTTCTCACGCGAGATGCCAGAGGTGCCTTGCGCCGCGGCTTGCGCGGACCTCCCGCGCGGCACGCTGCATCGGAGGCGGGAGCGCTTACGCGCCACCTTGCGCGGGCAGCTTACGCGCCAACGTCGGCGAAGACGAAGCCACAACAGGTGAATCGACCCAGCTGCCCGCCAGCCAGCCGACCAGGAAGCCGACCAACCAACCAACCGACCGAGCGTGGCCATGCAACCAATCTGAGAGGGGCGGGGAACCCTGGCGGAGAGGGCTAATCCCCTCGTGCAGTGAGGGGTCCGGAGATCCGAGCACCAAGACGTCTACGGCAGGTTCGGCGGCGGTTTCTGACATCGCAGGGATCATTCAGCCTTGAAGGATTGGCCGTCTCCGAGACGTCAGACCGTTCACCGTTGACCGAAGCTGGGTCGCCGGCGGCGTTCAACTTCGAACGCCGGGCGGCAGGGTCGCCGCCAGTTGACACGACGCGAACCTGCCGTAAAACGCTATTACTGGACCACCATCTCGCTATCTACGTTCGCGGGGTCATCGGGAAGGGACATGCTGGGAACTGGGGAGGGATATTTCTCAAGGTGATGCGAGGCCATGCAGGGCTCCTCTGAAGGCAGATGAGAGGCCAAAGCCGAAGTGGCTGCGCGGGGCAACAAGCATGCCAATTACCTGCTCAAGCCCTGGGGGAGAGGAGAAGGGAGGATACAAGGGATACACGGGCACAAAGATCGACGCGCTGACCGGAAGCATCGTGCCAACCCTCGCGCAGGAAACGACGGGTCGGACCAACCTGCAGGCCAAATTCCGCACGGCCGTCGAGCTCCTTCACGACCAACTCCTCTCGTCGGCCGTCACCTGAAATCACCAGCGGAGCCTCTGGGCAGCGGCCCCGTGGCCCACGCTTCCGGGGGCCCAACTGCTCGTCCGGCCTCCCTGCTGCAAGTTGGGGAAAGCGGTGCGGGGGAGGCGCCGGGCGAGGGGGCGAGAGCGAAAAGGACGGCAACATGGATTCGAACATGCACTCGTCCCAGACCGTGCCGCTTTTCATACACCGCAGTGACTCAAAGGCGACTGGTGATACCACTGCTGCCAGCACTGCACGCGGCAGCACCATTCTGAAGTGCAGCGCCCAAGCAGGCTCCTTCCAAGCAGAACGAAAACGTGACTGGGAGTACCCTGATGGAGTGAACAAGGCAGCGCTAATCGGGCGCACGCGGGTATAACACCACAGTGGCACACAAAACGTAGAAGTCTGGACTCCCACAAGCCCTCTAGACGTAGGTTTGATGAAAGGCTCGCCATCTTTGAACTTCCTTTTCATCTCCTTCTGGGATAGGGTTGATCACTGCTCCTTACTATCACCCCCCTACTCGACCGGCGACGAACCAGCGTCAACACTGAGTCAATACTGACATCTATCCACCACCCCTGCAACCAATCGACACAAAGTGCACTTTGCGTCAAAATCTGGATCATGCTCAAGGACAGGGATCATCGTGCGCAGGCCCACTTTCCCTGCAACAAACACAAGCAGTGTTCACGTTGAGGCAACATGTTGACCATGCGAGGGCGCCCCGCGATAATTGTGCATTGTTATTTGATGGGGATGATGCGTGTGCCCGCATATTGAGTGGTGTGTGCGAGCTCAGGAGCTCTGTCAAACACAGATTCAAAGAGGTTGCGGGTGCACGCACCAATGGCGACCCTTGTCATTACTGAAATCCGGGTGTTACTTCTGTGGTAGAAGGGCGCGTCGGAGTGAGCGAGACGACCGTCCTTCTGATAGCTTGACCCGTTGAGAAAAGGCAAGATGAGGAGAGTGGAGGAGACGAAACGTGACGATATAAGAGCGGGCGAATTGAGAGTAGGTGGTGAGGCGGATTAGACAGAAGTCCACAAGGGACGTGCTGAGAAGAGAGGCGAAGTAGAGTGTAGAGTGGTTGAGGTAGTAGAGGATTGTCCAAAAGAGGAGGGGAGAAAAGAAGACGGGGGGAAGTTGGCTGGGCGGGGAGACTGGAGGAGAGGGAGCAGGAGAGTAGACATGACACAAGCGAAATAACAAGTGAGACGAGGAGAGAGGGGCAGTACGAGGAGAGATGAGAGGATGAGAGGCCACATAAGGGGAACTGGCACTACAGGACAGAACAGGACACCACAGGAAGGCACACGGTAAAACATGAGATCCGATAAGCCACGATGTGAAAGGAACAAGGCCGTACAAGGGGATATGGTGGAAATCACAAGGAGGAATGGAGAGAGACTGAGAACAGCGGGGGAAAGAAGATACTTGTTCTGGCCAGTACATGATCGCGACAATAATGCGCGGTTCATCTCACTTGCCAATCGAAATATTTCAAGCAAGTAGTGAAGCGAACTGCATCAGACCTGGCACAGTCGAAGCCGCTGTGTACTCACGCGTACTACTCTCCCTGGACGGAAGCCTGCTTGGCACTCGACGCCGAGACCACCTGGAAGCACCTCGCCTGGTCGACTGCTCAGAGCGCGCACACACGCTCGGCTGGCGCGCCGGCAGCTGCTCAAGCAGAGTTGCAAGCCGGACTCTGGGCGCACCACCTGCCTGCCTAAATACATCCCCAGGACGAAAGTTTTTCCTCTTGGGCCCGGAGCGAAGGTTTGAAGTCCTGCGTAAGTAGGAAAACCTTTCGTCCTGCGTAAGTAGGAAGAAAAAAAAACGCGAACATACACTTTTGGCGCTCCGCGCGGATCTCTTGGATCTGAGCTCCGCGGGGCCCCCCTCCCTGGCGCGCGGAGCGCGCCAGGGGCGGCGCCAGAGGCGCCGACGGGGGGGGCCCGGCGCGGATCCAAGAAATCCGCGCGGAGCGCCAAAAGTTAGACGAGCGCGTTCCACTACTCGCAAAGTGACTACTCGCACATGGCATGGATCCGCCAGGTGGAATCTACTAGAACTTACATCGAAGCAGGCATGTGTTTTTCGGACGTTCGCGAGTAGACACTTTGCGTCTAGTGGAACGCGCTCGGTGAACAGTGTATGTTTATGACGTTTTTCTCTTCGATAAATGGGTCTGGACCGCCACGCTGATCACGCTTGCGCAGAAGGCACACGCACACCGCCGCCGCCGCGCATGGCCATGGCCACATTGGCCTCTTGCATGGTGATGGGCACATGTTCCACCACCACTACCATAGGTAGGAGAGGGAGGAGGAGGAGGAGGAGGAGGAGGAGAAGGAGGAGGAGTAGAAGGAGGAGTAGGAGTAGGAGGAGGAGGATGAACTCCTCATCCTCCCTTCTCCCCCGTCTCACCTATGGTAGTGGTGGGGAACACTGGCCCCTCATGGCCGAGGCCTGCGGCCATGCGTGGTGGTGTACGACTGCCCTTTGCGAATGCCGGGGCAATCACCTTCGCCGCATCAGGAGGCTCGCAGTCTGGTTCACAGACCTTGCCAGGGCGAGCAGAGTATGGGTCGCTTCTTGTGCAGACGGCATCGGAGATCACACTACATTCACGCTTTCTCTCCCGTGCTGCAACGCGTGACCCCACGCAATCTACAAACGATACCCAACCGAGCCTCCAACACACGAGCATGTCACCGCGCGGACGAACACAGCGCCGATCCCAAGGCCGGATTGCTAGCAAATCGACAAAGACAATACTGCGCATCTCATCTTAATTCTTCTACAGAACTTGACAAAACGGTGCCCCCATCATTCGTTATGTCCTTCGCCTATCATTGACGAACCGCGTGACAACAAACGCACCTTGAATAGGGTATGCGTACATAACCCATCTACACACATATCTTACACATACACATCTCGCAAACACATAATTTGACCCGACACCTTCCGGCATGGTGTGAACTACTATGAACATTTGCAACCGAATGCATACGCGCATTGTGGCTGAACGTACGATGGGCTCAACAACAAAGCCTTGCTGGTAAGGGGTGTGAGGCGAGCTGGGTGAACAAAGAGGTCAAGGATGAAGGGAGATGTCCGATGGGAAAATGTGGCTCAGCCCGGGTCTGGACACCCGGGCCAAGTAAACTTAATTATACCTCAGATCGTCCAACACATTGGCGAAATAACATTCCTCGCACTCAGGAAATGGACGACTGGTACGCGCTGCTCCTTGCCCACGATCTCGACTTTCAAACTTCCACATCGACCCTGAGCCTTATCCAAACAACATCATGCTTCATAACTGGGCTGAACTGCACTGTCTCCGACCCGGTGCCTCAAGGCATGAAGTGGAGTGTCCTGAGGTCACGTCGCGTTCCTTGTCTTGAAAACTGCAACTGCCCCTTACGGAAATCAAAGCCCTGGAGTTCGAGACGAACCGCAACACCGCCTTGCGGGATGGGCCCAAGGCCACTAGATAACAGATAAACGTACAGCCTGGTCTTGACTGCTCAACATGCCACCTGACAGCGCAGCAGGAAGGGAATGCCGATAGCAACTGCGGCGCCAGACCTCCTCAACAAGTTCAGCTGGCTGCCAGCTGGGCTACCTGCGTGGCCAGCGTCGCCACCCGTTCTTTCGCCGCACAATCCTCCTGCTCAATGACCAATCACCGGCCCAAGTTATCCTTTCGATGGCCACCAGCACAAGAACATAGATGCTGGTCCTTCAATTGGAACGCCCAACGACGTGGTGTTGCAGTGCTCTGCCGTGCTCCTGTTGACACGCCTACATGGGGTTTTGCCACAGGCGTAACTATACATGCTGATGCCATGCCATTCGTACCCTGTATGGTATACTGCAGCACGCCTGATCTGGACATGCAGTGAATTGAGAAGTCTCCCTGCCGATACAACTAAACATACTAAATGGTATCCCACTCTCATGTCACTTAGACCCCGGATGCCCTGACCAGCATTACAGTGGATAGGAATATGGAAGAGTCGGCTGCACGTGGCGCGGACTATCACACTGCATTTCAACAAGCTTCAGTCATGTTTCAAGTGAGAACTATGATGCTCTAGCCTGTGCGTTCCGGAAAAAAAATCTCTGGATCTACGGGAGAGCGCAAAGGGCAAGAGGCAACTGGTCAGCGCCTTCGAGACACGAATGCCCTGCGCTGCATGTTTTGATGCCATGAGAAGTCTCTGGGGGTAACCCCTCCCGCTCCAATCTCGACCTTCCCCACAACTCCCAACGATCCCCCTTCTCTCCAAGTCACTCTTCCTCATCACTGTCATTCCCCCTCCTCCTTGGACTCCTCCTCCCCTACCTCCACGACCTCCTGGCAATACCGAAACTTGTTGTGGGTGTGGCACGAGGGAAGACAATCAAACGCCCAAGCAACATCCTGCTTGCATCAAGCCCCTCGTGGTCTCCTGTTATGGCTTTCGCATGATTTCGACGTAGTGGCTCACATTCGTGGCCTTGCGTCTCCATGACGTGCAGACTGAGTGCGACGAAACCGTGGGCAACGAGCGCACCTCTGGTATCGCTGGAAAGCTGACAGCAGGTCAGGTTGAAGCTCAAGGTAGACAGCTCAGTGCGTCGTGCTCGTGGAGGGGAGGCGCAACAAAAAGGCACCCTGGCATGCTCCCTCGGAGGCCCGCGCCGATCCCTCGGATCGGCGCTGGACCCCCCCCCCCATGCCCCCGGCGCGCAGCGGACCTCCGAGAAGCGAAGGAACGAAGGGGCTCTTGTGGACCAGCGGCGAGCCTCGGCCACACATGATTAGGTTTAGGCCGGGTATGTTCCCCAACAGGCGGATTTTGGACGACAAATGAAAACAAGTATAAATATACAGATGTGTACATCTATATATATATATATATATTCAAACATGACAAGAAATTACTAGGAGAATCGTCCCCAGACTATGTTTTGACTACTTTTGAATACCCCTCCTGTAGAGGGACGCGCACGACTTATAATCAGGCCCCCCGACCTGGCTCGAGGGAGCGGCCCGAAGTCCTGATCGTGCTTGACAGGAGGGAGAACACAAATCTACTTGGGTGGCGATCGATGGGGGGAAACGAGAAGTCAGCAGGGACCGACTGTCCCGGCAATCATATAGGCATACCACGAAATGCTCTTCGAACCCAACACTGGTCTAATCACGAAAACACTGTTCTCAGAACATAAGCCCGATGTGATATAACAACAACAACAACAACAACAACAACAACAACAACAACAACAACAACAACAACAACAATTACTAGCACGTGGGGACACTCCGTTCTCACCAGTGCCAGGGTTTTCATAGGAGGCGGGCAATACCCCCACTTTGTGGGGGGGCCGGTTCAAGCTCTACCAAATTTCCAAACGACTCTTCGCCACCACCCACACCCAGCTTCCCGCCCTATGACGTTCGGACACTTCACTTCGTGGCATGCGGACGACCGTGGCTACTATTCAGGGCCCCGCGGCCGACGACGACGGCGTGCGCGCGCGAAGAAAAAACGAATGTGTCCCGCATGGTATTATTTGACAGGGATGATGGCCCTGGCAGGTGCGCAACCGTTGTCGCAGAAGTTCGAAAAAGTTGCTCGCAAAAGCCCGTTTGACAGAAATGTTTAAAAAGTGTTGGGTTTCCTACGAATCCGCAAGAGCGCGCGGGATGAGATTTTGACAATTTTTTGTTGAAAAACCATTGGTTTTTTGATGTTTTTATGTTAAAATCGCTGCGAACACTAAGGTTTTGGAAGGATTTCGTCTTGCGCGCGCGAATGTCCACTTTACCTTATTTTTTGCAAGGGATTCTTGAAATTTGATTATATTAGAACAAGAAATGTCATTTTCTATTGTTTTTTGCAAGGGAAAGCGGATTACAACAAAACAACCGGATCCTGTACACACCCTCTTTTCTGAGGCTTCCTTACGAAAATTATGAAAATGTAGCTGCGGCCTAGGCGGCGCAGGGGGGGCGCGCACCAGGGGGCCCAACAATAATTATTCTTTAGAATAAATAATGTTCAACAACAACAACAACAAAACGACAGTCCCAGCCAGAAGTGTTATAAGAGCATGTCGTGGAGACCACAAGAGGTTCTTAGGACATGGTTTGGGAGGCCTATAGGCACGCCAGGACGCTTCGCCAATGCTTGAGACAAGGAGAAGGCCTTCTCAGAAGGCGGCGGGACTTCTCACAAGCCCTCGCGCCCTCTTGAAAGGTTTCCTGTGTCTTCGGGGACGGCTTAGAAGATCTCTCAGAGGGCCAGGGGACTTCCGAACCTTCTGAGACGGCCTTCCAATTCTCACTTCTCCCCATATCGCTCGCCACCGACCCGCATGTCAGCGTCCAGATCGTGCTTGATTGAAGGGAGAAGAACTACACGAACATAGACTGATTAAAACGCACACGGATTTCTTGGATCCGCGCTGGGACCCTCCCTGGCGCGCAGAGCGCGCCGGGGGCGGCGCCGGAAGCGCCACTGGGGTGCGCGGCGCCGATATCCAAGAAGTCAACGCAGAGACCCGAGAGTTTCTGTCCATGCAGGTGTCGTTTCGTCGACTTGGCAGCGTCTTGGCCGCACCTGCTGAAATTTCTTAAACAAGGCTAGGATCGGGATAAATCGCTCCAGAGCGTTCCGGAGCGCTCTCAGAGCGTTCCGGAACGCTCTGAGAGCGGCCGCGGCGCCCAATGCATCCTCCAAACCCGCCGATTCTCAGAGATTTCGAGCTATCCCGATCCGATTTTGTCCCGATCTTCGCGTCGTTTTAATTTCGTTAAAGGCTTAACGACTTCTGCCGTCCTTCGACTCGCGCTAGAGCGGCCGCAATTTGCTCCAACTGTCCCTGAAGATCTCTGGATTTACCTGGACTTACTCGGATTTACCTGAATTTACTTAGATTTATCTGCATTTACCTGGATTTGTCTGCATTTACCTGGATTGATCTGGCTCGATCCCCACAAGTCGAGTGGCAAAGAGTCGTCAAGCCCTTAGGGATAATTTCACGAGGGAAGCAGTCTGCGAGCGCCACCCGCGGCCCCCTCCGCGCACGGCGGGGGCGCCGCACGCCGCTAAGGAGGCGAGAGCGGGAGCGAGGAAGGGCCTCCGGGGACTTCGGCTATATAGCCTGCGGCGGCGGCGGCCCGGCCTGCGGCAATGCTTCTCTGGACACCCGAGATGGGCACGGAAGGAATGGGTACGATGCCCAACAGCAGTGGGTGCGCCGGGGGGCGTGCTGAGGGAGAAGCGCCAGGGGACGAACCAGGGAGCGCTCCCCTTCGAATCGGGGACCGACTACAGAATTTGTCTACCCCCGAAACCCATGTGCTCGTCGAATCTACGGGGCCATCCTGAGCATCCCCCGTAGATTTGCAACAGTCCGACGCGTTTGTCGTAGATCCGATGGGGAAAAGTCTATCTGGATGCACGAGATGGGCACGGAAGGAATGGGTACAATGCCCAACAGCAGTTCCTGTTCCTTTTGAACAGGACTCGCTGTCCGCGCCGCCGCGGCCTGTGTCCATTTGAGACAGAAGGCCGCCCGCCCAACAGCGGCCGCTGTTGGTTTGGGACAGCCTTTGTTGTTGGGCATTGTGCCCATTCTTTCCGTACCCATTTCGGGCGTCCAAAGCTTCGTCCTGCACAGGGACCGGCCGTCCCGGCATCCCCGTAGGCCTACCACGGCAAGGTCTTAGAGCCCCAACAATGTTCGAAGGAGAAAAAGCAAGCTTCGTAGAACGTAACCCCGATGTGTTCATGCAAAGCAGTCTCCGCCAGAAATGTTCTCATAATGTTTCGTGCAGACCACGCAAGGTTATTAGAACATTCTTTTGTGGGCCTAAAAACAGGCCGAGACGCTTCGCCACTGCTTGATCGTCCGCTTCTCACCGTGAACAGCCGGGCTACTGCCCAGAGCACCCGTGAGGCGGCGCACCCCCGGCCCAGCAGAATTCTCCCTCGACCACACTGCCGCGCGGTGGCCCGGCCCGGGATGGCAGCAGCGGGACAGGCAACAGCAGAGGCAAACACGTCCGGTCGTCCGCACGGATTTTGCGGATCGGCGCTGGATTCTCCTGCTCCTCCTCCTGCTCCTCCTCCTGCTCCTCCTTCTCCTCCTCCTCATCGTCATCCTCCTCCTCCTCCTCATCCTCCTCCTCCTCCTCCTCCTCCTCCTCCTCCTCCCCCTCGTTCTCCTCATCCTCCTTCCAGACCCTCCCTCTCCCCCTACTCCTACTCCTCCCTCCTCCTTCTCCTGCTCCTCCTCCTCCTGCTCCTCCTCCTCCTCTTGCTCCTCCCCCTCCTCCTCCTCCTCCTCCTCCTCCTCCTCCTGCTCCTCCTCCTCCTCCTCCTCCTCCTCCTCTTCCTCCTCCTCCTTTTCCTCCTCCTCCACCTGCTGCTCCTTGCCGGAAGGGCGGGAGAAGGGCCGGCGAGCCAGGCACGGGCGCGCGCCGACCGGAGCGCAAGCAACGGGGGGCGGCTCCGATGAGGCGCCCACCAAAGGGCGGGGGCGCGCAAACATGGATTAGCGATCCATGGATTTGGCGCGCGGTCGCCAAATCCATGGATCGGGGGAAGTGCCCTCCCCAAAATGCGGCTGGTGCCGCCTCGCTCGGCGGCGGAAATCTGAGATTTCCCCTGGAAACGGGACCCGTCGCTAATCCACGCCCCCTTGATCCATGCTTGCGATCGCCTGAAAAGGGGGCCAGCGCCGACCCAAGAGACCAGCAGCGATCTGCAGATACTTCGGAAGTTGTGTTTATACAGACGGAGCTCGACCACAAGAAACCATCCGCAAGAAACCCAACCCGGAGACCCCATGACACCACTGAGTTTGGGCGTGGGAGCGTCACGGCTTCCATGGCGAAACCATCGAAACCCAAGAAACCCAGGGCACCCTGGAGGCAAACAGGGTGTTCCTTGGCATGGGTTTCCACTGTACAAGTGCTGGAGGGGGCAGAGGTACTCAGAGTTTCTGAATAAGCGCCGGGGGGGCGTCACCCCCGCCGACAGCCCCACATCGACCCTCGTCGCGGGTAGTCGCCGCGCGCCGAAGGCGCTCCGACCCCCGTCGCGACGCGACGACTAGGCGAGGTGGACCCCCGTCGGGGGGTCCCCCCCACGCAAACTAAGAAAAACAGAGTACCGATACCGCTCCTCCCTGGACCTCTCCCAAGGGTGCGTTCTGACCAGGATCTCGAAGCGGATCTGGCTGTAGCGACGAAGATCTCCCAGGAGTCCCACGGAGGCGAGCAAGAGGGAAGGGTAGCGGCATCGGTACCTCTTCCTCCTCTTCTTGGGTTGTTCTTACTACACTGACGCACTCATGAGGACTTGGAATGCCATGTGGGACATGCGCTAGAACAGGAATGTAACGTAGAATGATGTACTCTTCCTAAAGCATTGTATTGCGCCGAACGCAGCGGCTGGGTTGTCTATAGCCGCATCCACCCCGAATGAGTCGGTATACGTAACGATGCCCCATATGTTGATAGACGCCTCTTGAGGCTAGAATGTGAACGATGTTTGGCATAGGTCCAAAGTACTGGTCTTCTAGAAGCAGGTGGACTTTGCCCTTCAAAGGAAGAAGAGGAAGACTACCTCATCTCGGGCCCGCGCCTGTGACAGCATCCGGCAGACGCTCCAGGCGCTCCTTGAGCTGGGAGCAGAGGCTGGCCGCGTTGCTGGCTACGGCCTCCCCGCGGCGCGCGTAGTTCCCCACCTCTGTACAAAAGGAAGCAACAGTTACCAACGCAGCAAACGTTCGCTCAACGATGCTGAGTTCAAGAAGAGTGGGGGAACATACTGTGGGCACAGACGATACGACATCTTACTAGAAAGAAGGTTGGGGCACGGTGTCCTTCGAGATATGAGCGGAACGAGGTGCCCAAGACTTCTGTTAGTCCCTATGGTCATTGGGGGGATCAAAGGAACTTCAATGGGGCATCTGCTGGCAGGCCGATGCCGTATTTGGCGCGCCTCATCCCTAAGTGGTACAGCAAATGCCCACGCAACGATGCTCCAATACAGGACTAGAGAGCCACACACTCTGTGAAGAACTGCTTCTCGACTCAGCGATTGGTATCGTGATCGGTCCCCGTCGGACAGGTATGCTCTGGCTAAGTTGGTGAGGCTGGAGCTCCTGAAAATCACAAAACTGTTGTTGCGGCGGCGGCTCAACCATCGAGGGTTAGGTCGGGTATGTCCTCCTACAGGCGGATTTTCGACGAAAAATAAAAAAAAAAAAACATATAGAACAGCAATCCAACAATCCGCCGACCCCTTGTGGGTCTCTAGGCGTGTGAGATAGTTCCCCCCCCATAATCCCCCCCCCCAGGGACCCCAAACCGGAGATTTGACCCCCCCCCCCCGGGCCCAGTACGAGCGCGTCACGGGGCTCTTTTGGGCCCAAAAGGGGATCAAGACGGGCCCAGAAGGCTCCAAGGGGCCTCCAAGACGGCCCACGAGGGCCCCGAGACGCCAAACGAGCGCTCCCACACGCCCAAGATGGCCCCAAGACGAGCCTAGAGGCCTCCAAGACGGCCCAAGAGGTCCCCACGAGGCCCCAAGAGGCCTCCAAGATGCGTCCCAAGAGGGTCCCTAGACGCAAAAATTGGCCCATTCCCTTCGTAAAACGTATAATTTTCACAAATTCGCTTTCTGGGCTTTCCGACGCTCCAAGACGGCCCAAGAGGCCCCGAAGACCGCCCCAAGACGGCCCAAGAAACCCCCAAGAGGGTCCCAAGATAGCCCAAGAGGGCCCCAAGACGGCCCAACAAGCGTCCAAGACGGCCCAACAGGGCCCCGAAAAGGGCCCCAAGAGCGCTCCAGGAACGCCCCAAGTGGCCTCCAAGAGAGCTCAATATGGTCCCAGACAGCCCAAGAGCGATCAAAGATACCGAAGATGGTCTCCTGACGGCCCAAGATGCCCCCAAGAGGCCCCAAGAGGCATCCAAGATGCGTCCCAAGAGGGCCTCTAGACGCAAAAATTAGCCCGTTCCCTTCGTAAAGCGTGCGTTTTTTTTTTTGTTTTCACAAATTCGCCTTTCGGGCTTTCCGACGCTCCCAGACGGCCCAAGAGGCCCCCAAGACCGCCCCAAGACGGCCCAAGAAGCCTCCAAGAGGGCCCCAAGACAGCCCAACAAGGCGCTGAGACGGCTCAAGCGGCGCCGAAGACGGCCCAAGAGAGCCCCGATGACGGCCCCAAGAGCGCTCCAAGTGGCTTCCAAGAGAGCTCAACATGGTCCCACACGGTCCAAGAGCGATCGAAGACACCCGAAATGGCCTCCAGATGGCCCAACACGCCCCTGAGAGGCCCCCAAGATGCGTCCCAAGACGGTCCCTGGACGCAGACATGTACGTATTCCCGTCGTGAAACGTACAATGTTCACACATCCGCCTTCTGGGCTTTCCGACGCTCCTAGACGGCCCAAGAAGCCCCGAAAACCGCCCCAAGACGGCCCAAGAGGCCCCCAAGACGGCCCCGCGACGGTCCAGTATGGCCCCAAGACGGCCCAAGAGGTCCCCAAAACGGCCCAAGAAGGCTCCAAGACGGCACCAAGAGGGGCCCAAGAGGGCAACCAACAATTCAAAAATCTAGCTTTCCGCCCCCACGAGCCCCAGGGGGCCCCAAGAGTGCCCCAACAGGCCGCCAACGGCCCTCAAGAAACCGCCAAGACGCCCCAAGGAGCCCACAAGAGGCCCCCAAAAGACCCCCAGACGCTTCCGTATTGCGAGCCGTCACGCCAACTGCAATGCACTCCGCGCATACAACCTTATTCTTCCTCGCGACGTGCTCACTATCTTGCTCGGCGCTAATGTGCTGCTGCCGCGCGAACTGTTTCGTGCGCGCTGCGAACGTCAACAGCCTCTTCACCCGTTTCGATTCATCTGCCACATCTTTCGCTGTGATGCTTCGCTGATCACAGCTTCCACACACTACTCTTGCTCCTTTCGTCTTCCAGTGCTCCTCCACTTGGTTGCGGGTCGAAAGGCCGACCTCCCAGAAGGACACCCCGCACCCGGGTGCACAGCACGCAAAACGCTCGCAAAACACTCGCAAAACACGCCCCAGACCACCGGCATCACGCAAACATTTGGACCCCCTACGTATCTGCCACCACCCGCGCGCGACACCGCACCCTCACACAAGACGCCGTTGGCCAGAAACTCCTGGCCTCGCAACACTCACAGAAGGGGTCGGCGGATGTGGCGTAAGCCTGTAGAGTCATATAAACATCGTCCACAGACTACCTGCTGTTTTGGAATATTCCTCCTGCAGAGGGACACGCCCGACGTAAATCAGGGGTCGACGGAGCCCTCGGGCACAGACAAAGCCCGAGCCAACTTCGCGCCTCGAGGACCGGCGCGCCGGCGTCTGGCACCGCGTGGGCCGTTCCACCTCGAACGATCTGGGCTTTCCTCGGGTGACCGGTGCGTCCTGGCGGCGCGCACACGGGGGTGGAGGGAGGGGGGGAGGGCTTCTTAGAAGGGGGCTGCTTCTTGGGGGGCGCTGGCCTCGCATATATAGATGAGGCCCGCGCCTTTTAAGAAGCAGGGGTGCTTCTAAGAGGCCCTCCCCCCTCCCCCCACACCCCTCTGCGCGTGGCTGAACGTGCACGAATAGAGGTCCGAAAATCCACCCCCATCATGATCACCCCGGCACGCAAGGCCGTTTAGCATACGCACCCACAGAAGGAATCGAACAGGGCAGGGCTGTTTAGCAAACGCCCAGGGCCGTTCAATAAACGCCAGTGGTCGGGTCCGAGTGGCTCTTCCTGACTTGAATGCAGGGGGCGTCCAGTGGCGTCCAAGAGGGCGGCTCCAAGTCATGGCCGGAGGCACGGGCACGGACGACGTGGGGACCAGGGGTCGCAGTGAAAAACAAGACGAGGGGGCCATGACACCCAGGGGGACGTCGTGGCCCTGGCCATGACATCCACCCCCCCCAATCATCCCCCCCCGCATGGCCGCCCCCGATGGCAGATGACGCGGATCGCTCGACCTCGGCTCTGGGCCAGCGGTGGCGTTCGGCCCCGAATGCCCACGCTGCCTAGGCGCCCCGATGCGCCGCGCGCGACACGCAGCCTGTCGCCCCGGGGCTCAGCACTGGCGCAGCACAGTCGAGGCGTTGACCTAAGGAACCCTGAATAAGGAACGAGGCAAGCCGCGAAACAGATAAGGAATACCGAGCCCCTCCCCAACGAAAAGGGTTCTTTCTTCAGCGCCCCGATTGTACGTTCGCCCAGAAAGGAAGAACCAGCACGAGCCGAGCCCACAGGCGGCGTGTTTGACCGCACGCCTCGCACACGGCACGCGTGGCGCCTTCAGCGCGGGCGCCTCGGGGCAGCCACGCGCGCGAGCCCGCCGCGCGTGCTCGCCGTGCGGACCCGCATCGGCCGTGGCGCTCTCGACGGAAGCGGGTGCAGGCTGCGTGTTCATCGGACCGTAATGCGGGATGACGATTAATAAAAACAATGGGAGAGAACGATTAACAAAAAAATAGTTTCTGCTATTGCTGCACAATTTTCTGACTGGAGGAGAACGATTTTTTTTTTAAGATAGTATTCCAGCCCGCGGCCGGTTCTTCTAATCGTCATCCCGGGCGCCGCCGCGTGAACACGACCCCCGGTCATTTATTAATCGTCATCCTCCATTACGTGGGCGCCGTGCTGACTTGCCTCGCACGCTGCGCGGCCGACGGAGTCGAGGGAAAAACACCATCCTCCCTGCGCTGGCAACAGCTCTGAAGCCGGAGGGCGGCAACTAGGCTACGCCCAGGCATCTCTCGCCATGATGTTGAAGCTGCACGCAGGCGCTCCCAACCATATCGCAACGATTACACCTCAACGCGCCGCAACAGATTCGATCATACGTATTGCACCTGCGCGCAAGCACAAACCTCCACGATTAAGCGCCTTGCACCCCCACACCCCAATGTCCTCGTCCTCGGCGTCAAAGGCATACCACAACTCGTTGATCCACTCCACCTTGAATGCAACACGGCCAAGCCAAGAGCGGAAGAAACCGCGCGACCAGCGAGGAAACAGTCATCGCAAGAAGTGGGGGGGGCACCAGTGAGAACTGGGCCAGACATGGTGGGTTGCTAGAGAGAGCGCAAGCTGCACATACACATGATGTCTCAGACCACCACAATTTTGCGCCTCTGTATCAGTTGTCTGGTTTTTCCGAGCTGCGGCTCGCAGATGCCCGAACAGACCCCCGTGGGTTAAGCCGAGGGGGCAGGTTAGGCCGGGCATGTCCTCCTGCAGGCGGATTTTGGGCGACAGATGAAAACACTCCCCGAACATATTTGTGTTTGCAATTCCCCAGAAGAATCGAAACATCATCCCCAGGCTATGTGTTGACTATCTTTGAGTGTTCCTCCCGTCGAGGGACATGCCCGACATGAGGACAGGTCCAAGCACCCGACGGACGCCCCCCTCCGATGGCGCGCCCCCCGGGGGGGGGGGTAAGGGGGCGGGGGCAAGAGGGGGCGCCCCGCACCAACATCTCGCGAGAAAGGTCGAGGCGAGCCTGCCACGGCCTGCACCCACCCCTAGGGGGCCCACGAGCAAGAAAGGGGCCATGCTCAGGTCGGGCATGTCCTCCTACAGGCGGATGTTGGGCGAAAAATCAAACATACTCTAAACATACTTAAAAGCATCGTCCCCTTACTATTGGTTGGCAATTTTTGAATACTCCTCCTGCAGAGGGGCATACCCGACTTAAGGCCACGCGCTGGCCCTTGGCGCGGCGCCTAGGCACCACGCTGTCGGCTGACTGGGCGGCAGAAGGGGCGCACCCCTGTGCACACACATATTCACACGTCTATACCAGGGGAGACCTGTCCACGAGGAACCTTCCACAAGAAACCCAGCCCTGCGACCCCAGGACATCCATCGATGTCTGGTGTGGGAATGTCACGCTCTCCATGGCAGAACCACCGAAGCTCAAGAAACCCAGAGCATTATGGAGACGAGCAGGGTGTTCCTTGGCATGGGCCTCCACTGTAAATGCGAGACCCGAAGAAAGCAGGAGCTTCCTCCAACCTGGGGGCCGACATGGCCACTGGGGCCAAGCCTATGCCAGTGGGGATCGGGATCGGTTGCACGATGCGAGGAGGAGGAGGAGGAGGAGGAGGAGGAGGAGGAGGAGCAGGATGAGGAGGAGGAGGAGGAGGAGGAGGAGGAGGAGGAGGAGGAGGAGGAGGAGGAGGAGGAGGGAGGAGGAGGAGGAGGAGGAGGAGGAGGAGGAGGAGGATTGGAGGAGGAGGAGGAGGAGGAGGAGGATTGGAAGGACGGGAGGGGGGCAGCAGGAAGCCAGGGAGGAGCAGGGCGGCCAGCAGCCGCGGCACGGCGAGGGCGCTGCGCCCTCCCCGCCCCGCCCCCGCCCGCCCCCGCCCCTTACCCCCCCCCCCTGCGTGCAGCGAAGGCGTGGGCCAGAGCGAGAACGACTGCGAGGACGGCTTGCGATGACTACGGGTGTGGGCATCGGATAAGGAGCCCTCAGGCAAGGAATCCAGGGCCTGGAAGCCATTCGAACTCCCATCGTGGATCGACGATGGGTATCACCGCCGCCCTCATCGGACAAGGGATCCTCCAGGATCTGGCGCCTCCAGGGACTATGCCTAAGCAAACACCTCCACCGTACCAAAATGAGGGTTGACTGCAACATCTTTGATGAGTCTTGAGCTTACACTTGTCCTCTTCGTCTTCCTCCTGGTCCTCTCCTGCTCCTCCTCCTCCTCCCTCCTCATCCTCCTCCTCCTCCTCCTCCTCCTCCTCCTCCTCCTCCTCCTCCTCACGGTCCAGATCCACCCCTGCTGTCATGAGGGCGGACCCCCTGGCTCAACCCCCGAATGGGGGGCATCAGTTTCAAGTGTACAGTCTACCCGTATAATGAGGGCGCACGGTAAGGATGCAATTGCCTTGGAAGGTCATGCCGACACTCTGCGGGCGGGGCGCGGCCAGCGGCAGCGGTCAATGATGTGCCGAATCGAAGGATGCAGGGGTAGCGTTGGAAAGTGGCTCATCCTTACTGTGTGGGTTGACTGCACGAGGACGACGACACGGACGACGGCAACGGCGACGAAGACGGAGCCGCCCCCCCGCCCTCCCCGACGCGGACAGAAGCAAAGACGGCTAACGGCGAACTCTGGACCTCTCCCGACGCCCGCTCCGGCAAGAACTGCTTGACGGGAGTACAGCCGCAGCGACTCTTGAGGAAACCAACAAATCCGCACATCCGGCGTGTGAGTTTCTGAGAGCGTGGGCTTGAGCTCGCTCAAGCTTCGCTCTGGGGGGGGGGGATCCGGCGAATTATCCACGCAATTCAGTGAACGCTCCAGCGGGGGGGGGGTCCAAGAATCGAGGGGGGGGAGGGGGGGGGGGCAGCGGGGGGGGGGGGTTCGAGCTCGAGACGGGGGGGGGGGTTCAAGCGGGGGGGAGGGGCAGGAGCGGGGGGGGGGTCCAAGAATCGACGGGGGTGGGGGGAGCTCGAGCGAGGACGGGGGGGGGGTCGAGCTCGGGGGTCGAAGGAGGAAGCTCGAGCGGGGAGGAGGGGGGGGTTGAGCTCAAGCGGGGGGGGGTCAGCGCGGGGGGGGGGGGGTCCAAGAATCTAAGCGGGGGGGGGGGGGGAGCTCGAGCGAGGGACGGGGGGGGGTCGAACGGAGGGGGGGCGAGCTCAAGCGGGGAGCGGGGGTCAGCGCGGGGAGGGGGGGGGGTCCAAGAATCGAGAGGGGGGGGGGCGCTCGAGCGAGGACGGGGGGGGGGGGGGTCGAACGGAGGGGGGGGTCGAGCTCAAGCGGGGGAAGGGGGGGTCAGCGCGGAGGGGGGGGTCAGAATCGAGGAGGGGGGGGGGAGCTCGAGCGAGGACGGGGGGGGGTCGAGCTCAAGCGGGGGGGGTGGGGGGGTCAAGGAGCGTGGGGGGGGGTCCAAGAAAGGGGGGGGGAGTCGGGCGAGGGGGGGGGGGGGGGCGAGCTCAAGGGGGGGGGGGGGGTCGAAAGAGGAAGCTCGAGCGGGGACGGAGGGGGGGGGTCGAGTTCAAGCGGGGGGGGGGTCAGGGGGGGGGGGGGTGGCCAAGAATCGAGGGGGGGAGGGGGGAGAGCTCGAGCGAGGACGGGGGAGCGGAGTTGAACGGAGGGGGGGGTCGTGCTCAAGCGGAGGGGCGGGGGAGGATCAGCGCGGGGGGGGGGGGTCCAAGAATCGAGAGGGGGGGGGAGCTCGAGCGAGGACTGGGGGGGGGTCGAGCTCAAGTGGGGGGGGGTCCAAGGAGGAAGCTCGAGCGGGGACGGAGGGGGGGGTCGAGCTCAAGCGGGGGGGGGACCAAGAAACCGGGGAGGGCAGCGGGGGGAGGAGGGACGTCGTCGTCATCATCGTCCGTCGTTGACCCGGTCGTCGGTCGTCGTCGTCGTCATCGTCCGTTCCCACACGCATCGGGAGCGCCCCGGATCGGCGGCACTGGCCGGAGGCCATTACAATACCGATCCTGCTGTCCCTCCACTCTTCTCCCGGGGTGCGTTCTGACCAGAGTGTCGCGGCGAATCAAGCAGTGGCAACGAGGGCCGCCATTTGGGTGACCCAAAAGGGGGTCCAGCTGAGAGGGAGCGGTGCAATAGATGTATTGCAACTGTACTGCGCTGGAGAACTGTATTGCATTATATTGCAAGCAATGTATTGCGCGCGAAAATCCAGTAATACATTTGCGCCCCGGAATGTATTGCACGCCGCAAATGTACTGCATCCCCACGCGTCTATTGCACCACATCTATTGCACCACCCCCTTGTCGCTGGACCCCCTTTGTGGGTCAACCCGAGCCCAGGAAGCCCAAAAGGACAAACCGAGGGAAGGGTAGCGGTATGGGATGGGTACCTTTTCCTCCTCTGACCTGTCTGCCTCGCGGAGGCCCTGGCAAGACCAAGGACGCCCGAGGCCGTGGCTCACGCGAAGACGACGCCGCCGGCCGACGTCGCCCCCCAGGGCCTCGGGGGGGGGGCCTCCGGGAAGCGGCCTCCGAGAGGGCCCTGTCGAGCAGGGAACGTGCCAAAGTCTTGGATCTACGGGGCCCAAAAGTATGCACCACCACCACCTCCCTCCCCCCCTCCCTCTCCCAGGGAAGAGGAGAGGACGAGGAGGGTAGAGGAGGGAGGAGGAATCGACGTGGTGGTGGTGCATAAACATTCTTGGGGTCCGCAGGACCCGCGATGGGGAGGGGCTCGAGGTGTACTCCGCGTCGCTTGGTCGGCCAGGGAGCTCTCGGTGCACGGTCAGCCCGCGTAAGATAGAGGACGCACGAGAAGGATGCCAGGGGCCCCGGAATGAAGGCCACGTCCAAGCTCTGCGGGCGGGGCGCGGCCAGCGAAAGTGGGGGAACGAACAACGACATGACATACAAACTTGGAATGCGCGCGGATTTCTCGGATCGGCGCTGTTTTGTTTCTCCTTCGAGACCTGTCGGGTGGGGAACGCACATCGTATGGACAAGCGCGTTCAACTACTCGCAGAGTCACTACTCGCAAACGGCCTGGATCCGCCGCGGGGGAGCTACGCTACTTGACATAGGCGAAGACATGTTTTTGTTCGGACGTTTGCGAGTAGGCACTTTGCAAGTAGTGGGCCCAGACATGCGACGTCTGGATTTGTCAATACGGGGCCCCTGGAAGTCCCGACCCTTTCCCCGGGGCCAGTTTTTTATCCTGAGCCGTTTTTCGACGCTCCCGAGGCCCGGCGAGGGCCTCCCGAGGCCGAAACTGGCCAAGAACCACCCGCCCTGACGTTTCTACGACGCGAGCATGCCTGTGGGGCTGTCTCAGCCGGCGAGGGCGATGCCCAGCCGCGGCAGGCGGCCGTGCCGGGGCGGAGCCCCTCACGCAGGGCCTTCTGGGCCAGCGCCGCGGCACCGAGCCTGCCGTCCTCGAGCTGCTGGGCCAGCGTCAGCATGAGCAGCATCTTGACGGTCATGCTCATCTGCGCGGCACCTGCCCTGCCCCTGCCCCCCAAATCCCACGGGGCGACGATCTTGCGCGCCGCTTCGGCCCGGCCAGGCATTACCTGCAGAGGGCGGCGGGAAAGCAGAAAGGGGTGAGGGGGGGGAAGAGAAAGGAACCGCCATGCAAGCAAACGTGCCTGAATTGGATTAAAATATTAGAAGATTATTACTACGGCTACTACTACTAATAATACGAATAATGATAGTAATAATAATACTACTAATAATCATAATAATATTAATGATAATAATAATGATAACAAACATAATACTACTAAGAGAAAGAAGTAGAAGAAGAAGAAGAAGAAACGCCATAAAAATGAGGTGTTGGCGCTCGGCGCGGACTTCCTGGATCGGCGGCGGAGCGAGCCAGCGGCGGCACCCGAGGCGCTGTTGGGGGGGGCCCCAGGCGCCGATCTCAGAAATCCGCGCGGAGCGCTAAAAATTTATGCTTTTGGCGCTCTGCTCGTCTGCGACCCCCCCCCACCTCAGGGGCGACGATCGGCCTGCCCAAGGGGGGGGGACATCGACCTCGATAAAACAGGGCTAGGATCGGGATAAATCGCTCCAGAGCGTTCCGGAGCGCTCTCAGAGCGTTCCGGAACGCTCTGAGAGCGGCCGCGGCGCCAAATACATCCTCCAAACCCGCCGATCCTCAGAGATTTCGAGTTATCCCGATCCGATTTTGTGTCCCGATCTTCGCGTCCTTTTACTCGAGCCAGCAAGGCCTCGCGCATCGGCCGGCGGTGGCGATGGGCCCCCGTACGTGGCGGCTCCGCGCAAGGCCCGGGCGGGGCAGGCGTGCAGGCCCCGTGCCGGCGAGCGGTGGGCGGTGGGGGGTCGATGCGTCCCTGCTGAGCCAGGCGCCCCCCCCCCCCCCCCAAGAGTTCGAGTTAAGTCGGGCGTGTCCCCCTACAGGGGGATGTTCGACGAAAAATGAAAAATACCATAGTAGTACTAGTAGTAGTAGTCGTAGTAGTAGTAGTAGTAGTAGTAGTAGTAGTAGTAGTAGTAGTAGTAGTAGTAGTAGTAGTAGTAGTAGTAGTAGTAGTAGTAGTAGTAGTAGTAGTAGTAGTAGTAGTAGTAGTAGTAGTAGTAGTAGTAGTAGTAGTAGTAGTAGTAGTAGTAGTTAGTAGTAAGTAGTAGTAGTAGTAGTAGTAGTAGTAGTAGTAGTAGTAGTAGTAGTAGTAGTAGTAGTAGTAGTAGTAGTAGTAGTAGTAGTAGTAGCGTAGTAGTAGTAGTAGTAGTAGTAGTAGTAGTAGTAGTAGTAGTAGTAGTAGTAGTAGTAGTAGTAGTCGTAGTAGTAGTAGTAGTAGTAGTAGTAGTAGTAGTAGTAGTAGTAGTAGTAGTAGTAGTAGTCGTAGTAGTGGTAGTAGTCGTAGTAGTAGTAGTAGTAGTAGTAGTAGTAGTAGCAGCAGCAGCAGCAGCAGCAGCAGCAGCAGTAATAGTAATAGTATTAGTAATAGTAATAGTAATAATAATAGTGGTGGTAGTAGTAGGCCCCAATGGCGGTGTCCACATGCGTCTCCCCCAGCCAGCACGGCGATTCGTGGCCCCATAGGGGGGTCCACCTAAGGCCCCAGTGGCGGTGTCCACATGCGTCTCCCCCACCCAGCACGGCGATTCGTGGCACAACCGAAGGCCCCAGTGGCAGTGTCCACATGCGTCCCCCCCACCCAGTGCAACGCTTCGTGGCCCCATAGGGAGGCCCGAAGGGCCCTCTCGTACCAACACCGACACCCCAACAGACCCCCCTGGGGGTCTGTTGGGTTGTCGGTGTTGGTGTGTGATTGGGGGGGACGGGCCGCCAGCGCACGTGTCCATCAACAACAGCAGCAGCAGCAACGACAACAACAGCAGCAACAACAACAACAGCAACGACAACAATACTTACACCAGCAACATGAAATCGCCCGACCTCCCTCCACGGCCTCTCCGTGATACACCCGCTGCCTGGCAGAGCTGCCTCGCTCAGGGTCCTACCGTCTTGTGGCTCATCCTCCCCAGATACGACGAAGACAAGACGAGGATCAAATCGGGGGAGGTTCAGTCGAAAACCTCTGAGATCCGGCGGCTCCGGAAGAAGTCCTGTGCGGCGCGGCCTTCCCAGAACGATCTGGAACGAGAACATGCCGGAACGCCCTGAAATGGACCTGTCTGCTCCCGTCCGACCAGGCCCTCGACGTACTGAACAGCACAAGGGACAAATGTTTGGGCGATTTCGGAAACTCTGAACCCAACAACGTCTTCCTCTCCTGGGGGCGCAGGTTGTACTTCCGCCGACCTTCCGCCGGCGGAGGCGGCCTCGCTTTACCTCCGCCGACCTCTCGCCGCCCAATGCCGCCACCTCCCGCCGCGGAAGAGGTGGCAACCCCTTCGATCCTCGAGAGGTACAGTGGAGGCCAGTCCACAAGAAACCTCCCACAAGAAACCCAACCCTGAGACCCCAGGACGCCCATGGATGTTTCGCGTGGGAACGCCACGCTTCCCACTGCAACACCATCGAAACCCAAGAAACCCAGGGCACCCTGGAGGCAAACCGGGTGTTTCTTGGCATGGGCCTCCGCTGTACGGCGCGAGAGGGCTCGAGGGTACCGGACCGGCCCGGGGAGGCGAGGCACAGAACGCGTACGGGCATCGAGACGGGAAGGGGGGAGGAGGGAGGGAGGTGGGGAGGGAGGGAGGGAGGGAGTGCGGGAGGGAGGGAGGTAGGGAGGGAGAAGGAGGAGGAGGAGCAGGAGGAGGAGGAGGAGGAGGAGAAGAAGGAGGAGAGGGATGAGGAGGAGGAGGAGGAGTAGGAGGAGGAGGAGGAGGAGGAATCTGATGATGATGATGATGATGATGATGAGGAGGAGGAGGAGGAGGAGGAGGAGGAGGAGTAGGACGAGGACGAGGAGGAGGCAAGCAGGGTGTTTCTTGGCATGGGTCCCCACTGTAGGGCCTTTTCTGGAAGGCCTCCAATTTGCGTTTCCCTCTCGGCGTCTGGTGGGGGCACTCCACCAGGCCCCAGGCCCTCCACCAAAAAAACGATTTCCGGGGACGAGCGGCGGGGAGGAGGAGGAGGAGGAGGAGGAGGAGGCGGAGGAGGAGGAGGAGGAGGAGGCCGAGGAGGGGGAGGAGGAGGAGGATCGCACGCCACTGAGGGGAAAAGGGGGGAAAAGGTTCGACGGTCCAAAAATCCCAGGGGGGCCCATCGGAGTGGGCCTTTTTCTCACCCTGAAGGAAGGCCAACGACCTGCCAGGGGCCAACGACAGGGCCCACTCTGGGTATCAACCGACCGCCTCTGCGTCCTCCAGATTATTACCTGGGGTACATTGACAAGAGGGGGAGGAGGAGGAGGAGGAGGAGGAGGAGGAGGAGGGAGGAGGAGGAGGAGGAGGAGGAGGAAAAGGAGGATAATGGATGAGGATAAAGGAGGCAAATGAGGAGAGAGGCGGGGAAGGCAAGGAGGCGAAGGAGGAGGAGGAGGATGAGGACGAGGAGGAGGAGGAGGAGGAGGAAGAGGAGGAGGAGGAGGAGGAGGTGGGTGGTGTTGGGCTCTGGGCACCCCGACGTGAACAAAAAAACAAGGCCTCGGGAGTCTGGCTCTCCGTTCCGCGGAACGTTTCAGTCGCCGCCCGCTCGAAGGCCGCGGCCCTCGTGGAGGGCTACGACGGCAACGAAAACGACGGCGGCGTCGACGACGGCGGCGATCACGCCTTCGACGACGGCGGCGGTGGCGACGGCGGCGACGACAACGGAGAGATCCCTCGGGCACCGAGCCACTGGTCCAGGGGGTCCGTCACCAGCGAACAGAGCCGACCGAGGAAGTCCGCTGCCCCCCCCACAGGGGGGGGTATCTGCCAGCTGCACTGTCGAGGTTCGCAGACCAATCGTGGTTCGAGGATCCAAATTCGAGGTTCGCCCCCGTCCTCGCCCTACCCATGGACCACCCCACGCCTTTTCCTCAATTCGCCCCTGTCCTCTCATCCGTCTCCCTCCGCCTGCCTCATCCATCCCCCCTCTCCCTTCCCTCCCATCTATCCTCCCTCTCCCCCTCGCCCTTCTCGTCGGTTTCATCGTCATTGCCGTCTCTCCGGGCCCACGTGCAATCCCTCTACTGGCACGCAGCCAACGCAAGGGGGAGGCTCCAAAGGCACGCCCCCCCCCCGCCCGCGCCCAGAACTCCGACCCTTACCTCGCCCCTTGGACCCTGATTAGCTGGGAGGAAGAGGGGGGCAAGGACGAGGGCGAGTAGAAGGAAAACGTGGAGCGAGGAGGGTTTTTGTTTGACATCCACGTCAGCGCCTCCAAATCCTCGTTTCAACCAAGGAGGCGAACCAGCAGCGGAGGGAGATGCGGGCTCGGCCGGATGGAAAAGCCATTCAGCTTGAAAACATCAGTCCGACCCCGAACTCTCGTCTTCGCGAGGGCTCGGGATGAAGCCCGCATCGTTCACGCCCTCTCGGAGGGCAGACGATGCGCGCGGCGACGCAGCAGAGGGCCCCCCAGAGACCGCAACGGCAGTCTCCTCTGCATCCACCCGCAGGGCGGGGCCAGGAAACGCCTTTCCCGAGTGGGACATGGGGGGGCGGCCCCAGGGCGCTCTCCGAGCCCCCCCCCCCCCCCCCCCCCGCGACAGCGTATCCCGCCCGCGCTGCGCGAAGCAGCGGCGCGATTCCCGCTCCTCGCGCCGTCGGCGCCCCCCAACCGAAGGCCCGCGGCACCGCCGGCGGCAGAGCCGGCAGCGACCCCCGATCGGGGGGCCGCGGCGCGCGGAGGGCCCGCGGGCCTCGCGACGGCCGCCCCCCCCCGAGAAGTCGGAGGTCGACGGGGGGAAGTGCCGGCCGAGACGCCGAGAGCGGCGGCAGCGCTAGCCGCTTGTCCAGGCCCCACCTGCGCGGCGGGATCAGAGCCAGGATCGGGGCCGACGAACTCGAAGCCTCCTCTTCGGCGGCAGAATCGCACTCCCAAGGCGCAGCCTCCGAAAGCGGCGGCCCGAGGGAACTGGGGCCAGTCTTTCCCGCCCCGGGCCCATCCAGCCCCACCCCCCGCTCCGCCCCAAAGAGGGAGGAGGCAGAAGCAGCAGCAGAGGCAAAGAAGACTGGCCGAGACCGCGCGGCCTCCTGGCCGGGGCTACTCCCCTTCAAGGCTGGCCGGTTAAAGCGCTCCACAGACGAGCTAAGGTCGACAGTCGCAGGCGCGGGCGCTTGCCACGGCATAAATCGGCCCACCCAAGACAACCAGCACGAGAGGGGGGGCTGCATTGATCGGCCGAACCTCTGACTTGTCCCCCGGTCGAGTGGCATTTGCACCTCGTGCATATGAAGGGCACAGAGTGGTCCGAACAATCGAAGGCAATCGTTCCATGGCCTAGACGGTCTTCATAATCAGCGCGCCGCTTGCGGCCACGGGGGCCGCTGGGCAACCGAGGCCCCCTGAAGCAAGAGGCGCATCCCCAAACTCCAGCCCAACGTTCCCCGCGATGGCAAGCAGTGCTAGTCGCCTGAGGGGGCTCGGGGACACACTCAGCATTAGTTAAATCGATATTCGGCCACAGGTGAAAAAAAAACTGCACAAGCTACCGTAAGGGTGACCCGAGCGAACTGAACATGCTCGCCAGCGTCTTGAAGCAGCCCCGCATCAGGAGGGCGAAGCACGAGAGCAAGCTTAGCGCCGACATCAGCAAACTTATGATCAATTCGGTGTCATTTCTCGGCAGATCGATCGAATCACCATGGGTGTCTTGATGGGCGTCAACTTTGATACACCCCGAGACGTCCGAAAACTGCCCATGGCACTGCAAGAACGCTCCCGAAAACATTTGTTTGCACGAGAATTGCTCGAGCTTCGACTTGCCGGCCAATTTCACCACATTGGAGCAGTCCGAATGCGCATGGCAACCGGCTGGTGTCGTCGCCAAAACATTGGCCCACGCGTAGGCACTGAACTCGGGGCTCTGCAAGGTTTTGGGGGCAGGGGCCCCAGACAGGGGCTCGAAACTCAGCCACCAGGACCCCCTTCGGAGCCCACCACGCAGACCGAGCTAGCAGCCCTGGAGAGCTCCCGAACAGGGTGACGGGCACGCGAGCCGTCCACGAAAAACGACCCCCAAAATCTGTTCGTGATGGGCCCTCCATCAGGGGCCGAGTCGGGTTGAACATGCCACTTGAGGAAGGTGTCATCATCGGCCTCAGTCTGGGGCCTCGGACAGCTGTCGGCGGGGCGCCGAAAGGCTCCATATACACGTGCGAAGTAGGTATCGAGGTCGCCCGACGCCTGAGCAGCCAGAGCAGCATCTGTAAGATCATGGCTCAAAGCTTCTGATCTGCCCTCCACAACTGCTTGATGTTGGCATTCCCGCAGCCGGTGGAAAATCGCGTCGCTCGCACCGCAGCGCACGCAATCAGGAAACGCACAATAGCCAAGGCCTTCAGCCCTAGCAGCCGTGAAGAAGAAGAAGGCTCCCGCGGCAAAAGCCCTAGTCCTGGCCATCTGCAAGGCCGCGTTCTTTTGGGCAGGGGGGACATGGCCTGGATAACAATGTCGTAACAAGTCCCGGGAGTGACCTTCCCCTTCGCGCCAGAGTCGCGCCCCGGCATGCGCAGATGCCGTTCTCGGACCAGGGGCCCAACAAGAGCGGGGGGGAACAACCCAAGGGGAAAAATGCAGCAAAAGTCGTCCATGAGAGACATGCAGTCCCGCACGCGCCAGCCAATGCGGACCAGGGACACGCGGAGGGCCGACACGGGCCCAGCAATCTGACGCCAGGGGAGGCTGTCCAGGGCGAAAACCAAACCCCAGGCAGCTGTTAGGGAAGGCAGGCCGAGCGCCCAAGAATAGCCCGACGTCTGACTGATCCACACTTCTTCACTCCACCTGAGAATGGGTGCCGTGCCCGAGCGCCATGTCGGATCACTGTCCAGAGTGGCGCTGGTCGTCAACGACCTCAGTTGGCTCCGCGACCGAACAACCGAAAACACGCGGCGGCGAAGCAGGCTGAGGTCATGGTCGCTAGTGCCAGTGACCTCAGTACCATAGGAAGCACCAACTACGGGGGCCACAGAGTAGACTCTAAGGATCGCCGTTTGGGATAACACCTTAGCCTGCTTGCCCAAGCGTCGCGCAGCACGAGCAGACTTGGCCAGCCTGGCATTCATCTTTGCCGACTTGCCAGCCACTCGGATGGTCCTTCCAGCCGTGCAATCGACCCCAAGTATGACCGTGGCAGGAGAGCAATACTGCACATATCAAGAGAGCACCAGCAGGGCGAATCACGAGAGCAAGAGTAGCGCCGACATCAGCAACCGCATTGCCAATTCGATGCTATTTCTCGGCAGGTCGATCGAATCACCATGGGTGTCTTAATGGGCGTCAACTTTGATGCACCCCGAGACATCCGAAAACTGCCCATGACACTGCAGGAACGCACCCGAAAACATGATTGTGCACGAGAGTTGCTCGAGCTTCGATCTACCAGCCAATGTCGCAACATTGGAGCAGTCCGAATAAACGTGGCAATCGGCTGGGGTCGTCGCCAAAAGATCGGCCCACGCGTAGGCACTGAACTCGGCGCTCAAAAGGGTTTGGGGGCAGGGGCCCCAGACAGGGGCTCGAAACTCAGCCACCAGGACCCCCTTCGGAGCCCACCACGCAGACCGAGCTAGCAGCCCTGGAGAGCTCCCGAACAGGGTGACGGGCACACGAGCCGTCCGCGAAAAAGGAGCCCCAAAATCTATTCGTGATGGGCCCTCCATCAGGGGCCGAGTCGGGTTGAACATGCCACTTGAGGGGCCATCATCGGCCTCAGCGGGGGGCCTCGGACAGCTGTCGGCGGGGTGCCGAAAGGCTCCATATACATATGCGAAGTAGGCATCGAGGTCACCCGACGCCTTAGCAGCCAGAGCAGCATCTATAATATCATTGCTCAAAGCTTCTGACCTGCCCTCCACAACTGCTTGATGTTGGCATTCCCGCAGCCGGTGGAAAATCGTGTCTCTCGCCCCGCAGTGCACAATCAGGAGACACACAATAGCCAAGGCCTTCAGCCCTAGCAGCCGTGAAGAAGAAGAAGGCTCCCGCGGCAAAAGCCCTAATCCTGGCCTGCTGCAAGGTCGCGTGCTTTCGGGCAAGGGGGACATGGCCTGGCGAACAATGTCGTAACAAATCCTGGGAGCGACCTTCCCCTTCGCGCCAGAGTCGCGCCCCGGCACGCGCAGATGCCCTTCTCGGACCAGGGGCCTAACAAGAGCGGGGGGGCACAACCCAAGGGGAAGAAGTCTGTCAAAGTCGTCTACGAGAGGCATGCAGTCCCGCACGCGCCAGCCAATGCAGACCAGGGACACGCGGAGGGCCGACACGGGCACAGCAGCCAGACGCCAGGAGAGGCTGTCCAGAGCGAAAACCAAACCCCAGGCAGCTGTTAGGGAAGGCAGGCTGAGCGCCCAAGAATAGCCCGACGCCTGACTGATCCACACTTCTTCACTCCACCTGAGAATGGGTGCCGTGCCCGAGCGCCATGTCGGATCACTGTCCAGAGTGGCGCTGGTCGTCAACGACCCCAGTTGGCTCCGCGGCCGAACAATCGGGGGGGGGGGGGGTGAAAAAAAAAAAAACGCGGCGGCGAAGCAGGCTAAGGTCGTGGTCGCTGATGCCAGTCACCTCAGCACCATAGGAAGCACCAACTGTGGGGGCCCGCAGAGTAGACTCTAAGGATCGCCGTTCTGGATAACACCTTCGCCTGCTTGCCCAAGCGTCGCGCAGCACGAGCAGACTTGGCCAGCCTGGCATTCACCTTTGCTGACTTGCCAGCCACTCGGATGGCCCTCCCCGCCG